AAGACTCTTGAAATATGGCTTCCGAATAAATGTTAAATAAAAGAGGGGAAAGCACACATCCCTGTCGAACGCCTCTTCTTATATGTATGGGCTTGGATATAGAATTGTCTATTTTTAGCTGTGCCGTTTGATGCCAGTACAAGTTTTCAATGCATCTTTATGTCTTTTTGGTCTATATCAACTTTCTTGAGAATCTGCATTAACTTGTGGTGTTGGACACGATCAAACGCTTTTTGGTAATCTAAAAAGCATAGGAACACATCCTTCCTCTGATCGTAACAATTTTGGACCAGTACCTGTGTTGCTACTATTGCTTCTCGTGTTCCTAAACCTTGCCTAAACCCGAACTGGGAATCACTGATGTCCCATTCATATTTTTTGTATAATCTTTGATTTAGTATTTTTAAGAATATCTTTAAAGTGTGACTCATCAGGCTAATGAGTCTGTGATCCTCACATCTTTTGCATTGACTTTCTTGGGCAGGGGAATAAAGGTAGAGCGTAACCACTGTTGAGGATAGCAGCCAGTTTCATAAATTAAATTAAATATTTTGTGTAGTGCTGAAATTCCCCTTTCATCTAGTAATTTGAGTATTTCTGACGGGATCTCATCTGGTCCAGGTGCCTTATTGTTTTTTGAATTTAATATTGCTTTTTCTATCTCCTCTTTGGTGATTGAAGGGCCAGTCAGCTGGTCGTCTGTATAAACTTCACTCATGGGTCTTTCGTCATGGAAGAGCTCCTGGATATAATTTTCCCATATATCAATTTTCTCCTTGATCAAATTTAAATTCATCAAAAGTTTACAGAAACATCCTGATTGTTTTAACTACCGGAACAGCATTGTTTCTCAGTGAGAAAGTTGGGCCATCTTTGCCCACTGTCTTTGATGATCCTTTTTTCGTCTCTTTATATGGTGGAAATAAAGATGATTAAACATTATTTGAATTCATAAATCGACGGAGTGGAATTTTTGCGCATGGGTAGAAACATGGCTAGAGTTGGTGACCATGATATCATTTTATTATCTATTATTCTTCTTCTTCCTTTGCCCTATCCGTTTCGGACGTTGGCTATTAACAAGGCCATTTTGACTTTGTTTACGGCACCTCTGAACAGTTCGGTCGATGTTAGTCCGAACCATTGTCGCAGGTTATGCATCCATGAGTGTCGTCTTCTTCCCGGTCCCCTCCTACTGTCGATTCTTCCTTGGACTATTAACTGTAGCAGCCGGTACTTAGTATGCTTCATGACATTATTATTATTTTATAAACGCCCATTGTAACAAATATTCTAATCAAATCAATATTCTAATATGTTGATAAACAACCTTATAAAATGGAGGGCATGTCAGACAGTTCACTTTGGTTAACAGCCCAAAATTCTTCCTTTTGATTGGTCAGACACAAGTAACGCATTGTAAAAGATGAAAGTTGGTCAACTCCTCCATTTCACTTATGTTCCGTAATGCGTTTACGTTCATTTATAAAAGGGAGTACACAAAGTTCAATGTTGATCTTTTTCCAGTGCATCTACGTTTACAATCCGTCAAACTATAAATCCAGCTTTAGAGTTTATCACCTGGAAACAGCGATCATGAAGATTGGGGCTAGAAAACCTTTTGATACCAATCAAATCTTTCAAAACTCCAGCATCCCCCGAACTTCTGAAATTAATTTTCTGCAGATGCAAGGGAAACTGTGAAAGTATGTGAGGTTGTCGACAAGTAAACCCCAAATGCTCCGGATTGTGCCCCATTGCTACAAATATTTTATAAAATTTTCTGCACGGTTGCTAATTTACTACGCGAAAACCCTTTGTCCACTTTTTCCAAGATGGCGGCCGGGGGACAAGGGTGGCGATTCCATAAAATTGAACTTAAGCCTATTGGCGACGTGCAAGTACTTGGAGGGGATACGAGAAACGATCGTGTGCGAGTAGCGGAGAAATCTTGCATTTTTTACTGCACATTTCATAGATTTCATAAATTCATATTGTCAATTGTCATATTTCATATTCGTTTTGTTTATTTACACCTTCTGTCACTGAAGAAAATGGGATTTAGGAAATGCTGTGTTATAAATTGTAAAAATACAACAAAAAATTGTCAATTTAAGTTTTATTCGTTTCCAACTTCGAAGCACAAAGCTACTACAAAGAGAAAAGTGGATTTATATCATAAAAAAGCATAAGTAACATAACCTAAATTATGCATTATTCTTGCGCCCGATTTTAAAGTCAGTTTGAAATAAAATAATAAATAAAAGTTCACTTTTAAGTGTAAATGTTAGTCTCATAACACTCACTTAGAGTTTATTTTAATCCAAAAATCAAGTTTAATGTTTAAATTTTATTTTTTTGAAGTTTACAAAAATGCATCAAGTTCAAGTTTTTCTGAAGATGCATTAAGATATATTCGCTGTCCAAAAATTTACAGGGTAAATAATTAATTGTTCAAACCAATACGATGATATGGCCTTAACCTGCTAATTTATGTATTAGCATTATTTATGGGAATTTATTTTTCTTAATTCTTCCACATAATTCTTCCATTCTTTTTTGACATTTGCCACTACTAAAGCTTTTCCCTTTGACTCAGTGCTTGGTTGAAAAGTTATTTGGTGATTTACTTTCTCAAATCCAGTTTTTATTATTGCATCTATATTAACAGTAATACTGTAATGTAATAATATATTTATTTGTATTTACACTACATACAACGTTTACCTTTTAATAATATACCGACATAACCTCAATCTAATTATTTTTTCTTATTCTTTTTTTGGGGCTACGTCCTTGACAGTTATCCGGTAACCTCGATCTAACATGAAAGCGCAGTAAATTTTACTGATTTACGACACCAGGTGTCGCTGTTCCAAACTTGCACGGTCCCAATACTAAACCCCCTACACATAAAAAATGTGTCCTCTCAAAAATATAATCTTAATATAACTTTTCAATGAACTAAATATATTTTAGACTGCCAGGAAAATAGATCTTTATTACATGCCTTTGTTTTGGTCTGATAGCTTTAAAAATCCCATTACTTAGTTTCTCATTATCAATACTGTTACGTAATGATTTCTAATCCAGAACGCAATGATTTGATATTAGTGTTCAACATAGCGAAAAAATTATATGGTCCTAACTTGTTAGTCAACCTCAATTTTTGTCTAGATTTATAACTCAAATAGTTAAATATTGTGTTTATATGGGATGAAGCCATAATTGTTTGTAATTAAAATTACTAAAAAAAGTTTCGATCCGCAAATTGTTTTGAAAAATATTATTTAAGAATTTTGTACAAAACAATGTATAAACACCAAAATTGAGGTTATGTCTTCTCAAAAAATTGAAAGTTGACTGACTTCAACTGTTGACAAGTCAACTTTCAATTTTTTTAACAGACATAGCATCAACTTTCTTGTTAATAATTATATTTTAAATCATGAGGAAAACCAGAAAACTCACGTTATTATTACGACATAGTATTTGGTAGAAAGAATTAATTGGAACGATTTTTTTATTTTTATCAACATATTCATACTATAGATTTTTATCTTCCACAATGTTCTTGTATATTTCACAAATACAGTTGCATAATTTATAATATATAACAAAGAATACAATGGATTGTTAAATAGGAAGAAATTGATTGATTATAGAAAAATGATAAACAAGCATGTTCATATTGTAACAATTTAAATTAAAAATAGCTTACCTTACTCAAGGTACTCTGTACGGGTACTTTTAGATGAATTCGTTGAGCACATAGACTTCTTAGAACGGCGATACCTTAAAATTATAATAAAACAACATTAGAATACATAAACCTAAAAAAATACTCAGATATAAAAATAAAAACATTTTTAAAATATTAAAAAATAAATCTGTGTCTGAACTGACAATATTTGTTTGTTTTCTAATCAACAAAACAGTATCTTAATATTGTTCTGAATCTATTTTCTTGTAGCATTTTAAATTAATTACTATTTAACTGGGAATAAGCCACAATTAAAGATAAAAATACGTTTATTGACGTTTCAATTTCCACTTCGGAAATCGTTCTCAAAATACAAATAGTAAATTAAACAAATTTTGTTTTTTGTTACATAGTGAAAAATTCTTCTAATAATTTAATTTTATTTGACTCATTTATATTGACAATTCAGACATACATTATGCATTTTAAAGTAGACGACTTTAAAATGATATTGCCAATATTGTTGAGTTGCGCTCCTGGGACGACTTTACTTATAAGATAGTTCATTCGATTACATGAAATCATATTTAACTTAGAATATCCGTCAGAAAAAAATCATAGCATGTAATTCGTCTTTAAAAAGACAAACACATGACATGATGACAGTAAAATTCCCCTGTTAGTGATTCCAGTGTTGCCCGCGAAGCTCCATTTAAGTTTGGCAATTTTTGTTGTTATGTCCTCGACTTTTGTTTTTGATCTTACCCAGTCGTTCCTCTTTTTATCTGACAGTCGTATACCTAATATTGCCCTTTCCATCGTTCTTTCTGTTGTGGCTAGTTTATTCATGTTTGCCTTGGTTAGGGTCCAGGTTTGGCATCCATATGTCATGATAGGAAGGATGCATTGGTTGAACACTTTGCTCCTCAAGTATTGAGGTATTTTGTAATCGCGGAAATTAGTTAAACCTTAGTAGCCGTCACTAGAATAGCGCCAAGGTCCTAATTACGGCTTATAGTAGGAGGTGACTAATGAAGATTCTGATCTGGCTAAGTCTCTTCACAAAAATTTAGGATCTCTATCAGTATATGCCTTTCAATAGTTCTCGGTCCAGGATTAACCGGTTCACTGTATAGTCAACTATACAGATTGATTGCGTTAGATTCGGAGTGTCCGTTTGGACCAATAAATTGTAATAAAAAAGTAATCAGAGAATTTTGTGTGAAGCACTACTGCAATAATGCAATATGTCACTGATCAAATACTTCTGAAATACTTTTATATGTTATATAAAATTCTAACCTGCTTCTCTTTGGTGTCCATACCGTTCTTCCCACGCATCGAACAACCTGTTGTAGTATCTTGGTTCCATGAAATGCAGATATCTGTGAGATTGCTGTGTAGGGAATATCCTTTCGAAGCCTCCTTTAACAGTAAGTTCATCTTCTGCTCGTATCAAATGCCGCACATCATCACCAGTTAAGGTCCTTTGAAAACAATTTAATATAATTAATATAATTTGTATAGAACATTCTAAAAATTATTCTTTCTATAATTATTATATTGTATTGGGAGTAATTAAATTATAAAAAATACATATTTTATTATATCAAAACATACTACATACCTAAGAATATCGGTAAGATATTCATCTCTACTTTCTAATTGTTCGAAGAGGGCGTGTTTATTCTTCTCCCTTTTCGTTAAGGCCGTTGAATACAATCTTGCGTCGAAACTTTCTGGCAAGTTACCGTGTTTGAGGGCACTAATTCTGGACGGTAAATGAAATTGTGCTAAGTCGAAAATTGATTGAACTAAGGGACCTTTTACGTGAGCATCCAGGGGGGAGGCGCTGTGAAGACTTGGCGAAATATTAACCTAAAATGTATAAATTTATAACCAAAATTATGGAATGCTGTTTATTGATAATTGTTCCCGTGATTCAAAACCTGGTTTATTATAAGGTTCCTGTTTAGTAACTTCCCTTAATCCGTGACGGTCTCAGCTTGTGTAGAGGAGGGACGCTGAACTGATTAGGGGTCCTTCAGTACTTTGTGTAAGACAGACTGGCGGGGAAGTCCTCAACCCCTACACAGCGCGTCTCAATGGCTGATAGGGCACATTCCTGTAAATATGCAGGACAGGTATGAATAAGGCTTCGCCAAATAAGTACCCGCGGATCAACGGAGGACATGACACAGGACAGCAGCTGTGTTATTAGTGGACCGTGGCTGAGGAATACAATTCCTGATAAGTGCGGTACCACAAAGTCGCAGGCGAAAATCAAATACTGATTTAACCGGCTGTGATACTGCGAACACTCACCAACTCGTTCAGCAAGCTTGGTGTTTTAATTACAATATACCCCTTAAAACACAACATGTTGAACTTAAAACAAAATGGGACGATACCCCAGGTGGGTAGAGCTAGCAGCTCAGAATTCCACACGGAAAACCTGTAAGCCTCAGGGATTCTGGGGGAGGCACAAGCTCAATAAAACTCGCCAAAATAGATACGAACAAACAAAAACAGTTACTATACGCAATCGCGTTGATTAAACACCCCTATATTTGATGGAGAAAGGCTCGTAACCAGCTTTCCGATAGTTTCCTACTTGGGCGTTTTATTCACTAAAACGCGTAATTGGGAAGTTGATCTAAAGGCAACTTTAGATAGGCTCAGAAACCGAGCCCGTCTCCTAGTACCACTTTCAGGGACTTTCGGTAAAACCAACAACAAAATCTCTCATACACACTTATAAATCCTTCATTCGACCCGTTATTGAGTATAAGGCACACTTATATTGCCTTCTCAAGGGCTATAAAAGGAAAAAACTGCTCTCTGCGGAGCGTAGAATTCTGCGTAGAACGTGCAGAAAACGGTGGCACTTTCTTTCCCGTAAAGTGCATCAAACGGCCAACAACACCCCTATTCTCGAGAGAATAAAAGACAAATATCCACACATTTCTTCTATTCTGATGCAAACATGCATCGATGAACTTCCGGCAGAATACTACGTCGTCCTTGAGGTCACTCCGCTAGCCTATCGCCGAACCTAGTTCTTACCCTATTCTATTCCCTACCCCGGACAGGGGGAGATTGGTTTTTTGCGGTTTCCCAATCTCACTACTCAATGATACCTGTCCGTCCCTGAGAAAATAGCCGCAACTATTTTCTCACCTGAATCGGCAGTTGCTGAAACAGTCTATCGAACACCGACGAGGCCTGGTCGTTAGCGGGAGCAAATAATAACAGAATTTTAGTGCAATACACTAGTTCTGTGTTGTTTGCGAGCGCATAAACGGCTGCAGGAACAATGGTCACTAGAGAACACGCATTTAGTTGCTGCCGAGTCAGAACACACACATTCACACTATACACAAATTCACACAACACACAAATCCACCAGTGAAAGGGGTCCTCTTTCTGATACCGATGCACCCTCATCACCGGACCCCCCGACCGCCTGCAGCCTCCGTTACTTTACACGGAGTCTGGGGTCGGGCGAGGAAAATCTAGGTGATTCGAGGAGTCAGTAACAACGAAATGGTAGCGTCCGTCACTGTTGGATTTACACACACATATTCACACTGAGCGAAATGCGGCAAGTCGACTCTCGAAAGCCGAGGCGCCTCCACTCACGAGCACACTCGTCCACGAAATCTCAGTGCAATACATTGGTTTCGGGGCCAAGTTAAGCTGGAGACTGCACAGGACCAATGGTCACTAGAGACCCGGCCTTGTCGCATCTAGCTTTAAAAAACACCGTCTGGAAAGAACATCTACTCCAATAAAGCCTTTCTCTGATTGTCGACTCTAAAAACTCCTCCAGGCAAAAAACAGGTGCAGAAACCAACAGAAGAAGAAGAAGCTAACACGCCGTTGACTTTTGGGTGTGTTTGCCTTTGTACTGCTATACATAACATTCAACTCAAGCCTAAAGAGGGTCAACCGACCCTAAACGGGTACAAAATGTATTCTCATCCCCTCAAAATAAACAATCCTTATCCTAACCTATTGAGAAAGAACTTTTATTCATTCATTCTTATACAAATTAAACTGTCTTGATTTTAACATTATTATTATTATATATCTTAAACAGAACTTACCTCTAATAACCATGGCCTTAATTTATCATCCAAAAGTATATCAATTCCAAATAATTCGTAACAATTGTATCTACTATTTATATTTTCTTCACATAACTGTACCACGGGTGATTCACAGGCTATAATTGTTTTTATAACTAATTGTTGTAAATTTCTCCACAAGGCTTTAGTATCGACATTGTAACCTTGAAGATATTCCATTAATTTAGAGATTGTCCTAAAATTAACAAATCATGAATCAAAAATCGTTTTTAACACGCGGTGATGTAAGAGACAAATTACGGCTCTTCCAGGCTAAGGGGTTAGACGTGGGAAGAAAATATTCTCTTCCTACAAACGATGGTTATAAAACGACATAAAAATTTCGGCGATTCAGGCGATCAGATGCAACAAAGATAAAATAATGCATTCAATCCAACACCCCTTAGTGGAAAGAACGGCATACGAATTAGTTTTATTGTTGACGATTGTGTGGTAAACTGTCTCACAATTTAAATCTCTCAAAAGAATATGTACTTTGAGGGTTAAGACCACTTTTTTAACATTAACATTCGGTAATTAAACTTTGATAGTATACAAGGCAACTATCGAACACAGTGATTAATTAAATCTTGCCCAAGTACTTTCAATCAATAGATCATCTTCAGGGGCATTTCGTCAGTTGTGGCCTATCCGAAACTGACGAAATGCCCCTGAAGATGATCTATTGATCGAAAGTACTTGGGCAAGATTTAATTAATCACTGTGTTCGATAGTTGCCTTGTATACTATCAAAGTTTAATTATTCGAACATTCAACCTTATATTGACTTGATTCGGTAATTAATCTTAAAGATACCAACAATTTTAAGGAGTAGGTGGAAGCCTATCAGAACCATTAGGAATTAAGATTCGAGTGAAAAAATGAGAAATACTTTTTGACATCTCACACTTACATTGAACAAAGTGAGATGAGTTTGAGTTTGTGGGAAGATTATACTGCCATTAAAAGAGCTGCTGAGAGTATGGGACTGAAAATAACGTTGATAACATAACATAAAATACCTCAAAAACTATCGTACAGAAGACAAATACAAGAACCATACAGAAATATCACAGGGAACATTGATAATTTCACTGTCCCAGTTTCAAAGATTAAAGTACTCAGGTATGGGATAACAGTTCAATCAAAAGGACATATATACAAGGATATTCGATCACAACAGGTGTTTCTTCGTACTAAATAAAATATTTAAAGGTTGTCTGCTAAGTAGGATATCAGAAATCAAAGTTTATAAGGTAGTAGTATCACCAATGGTACTCTATGTGGCAGAAATTTGGTCTCTTACAAGGAAGAGTGAAGATCAACTACGTGGGTGGGAATTTTACAGAGCCGTTAATGAGCGAGGAGGGGTATGGAGCATAAGAAGTTTAGTACAAAGATCAAAACAGCTGCAGACCCCAAACTGGAATACTGACGTTCATTAGACAAAGATTGATGAAACCCCAGAGTGCTAAACGTGAGGAATTTTCTCTTTACCATGCTGACATACTAATCCCAATTTACACAACCTATATAAAATTGAATCCTTACCATTTATGTCCTTGGCAGGCATTTGCGTCTTCATTGGCAGTATATTGACTGGAAAATTTATTTATACTATAATTTGTCAAATGCATATACCTATCCTTTAGATCTTTGGTGTCACTACTATATTTTGCTAAAAAATTATTATTTTATTATTTTTTTGGTTATTTTACTTTAAAAATTACTACTTTTAATGTAAATAAGCCACAATTTAATTTTAAAATAAGTTTATTTCCGGTTTTCTCTGCCGCAAGTTTCAGTCCGTGCAGCGTCATCCACTTCTTTACGACGCGGCCTGTGTTCCGAACCTGGTATTTGAGATCTGGCTGATCCGGGCCACTACCAGTAAAGCGAGGTCATCCGCGAATGCGAAGGGGGTTGTAACCTCTAAATATTTACAGTTCATAACCCCATTATATGCCAGATTCCATAGCGTAGGGCCCAAGACAGATCTCGTCCACGATCGTGCCCTTTTCCACCACATTCATCAGGTAACCAGAACATTTTCTCTCCTCCATTTCCTTCATTACCTCGTTCCACTGCATCATATTGAATGCATTCCTAATATTGAACAACAGCAGGGCCGTCCAGCGATGTTCATCCCCTCTGTTAAGCAATGTACACTCACGATTGCATCAATCGCGCTTTTCCCTTTACAAAAACCAAATTGCCTCCGAGATAAACTACCTGACCTCCCAATCATGTCGTCTATGCGTACTCGCAGCATCCTTTCATACAGATTACCGATGCTTGGAAGAAGACAGATGGGGCGATACCTTTCCTCAACCTTGGAGAGCAGTACTAACCTCGATGTCCTCCAAGGCTCATGAAAGGTTTGTGCCTCGAGCAATGCATTCATGGTAAAGGGTACTGCCCGCTCAGCTCCCTCGTCCCTCCATACTCCATGCCATCAGCCGTCCGGAAAGAGCTCTCGTGTTACCTCAAGCTTCTTCTCCATAGGCATTTCGTAAGGAGAATGTGATAGATATCCTCATCCAGCTTTTCACACAGTTCTTTCCAGTGCCTTCTTTTTACTGTACGGATTTTCCTGTACAGTTCCCTCTTCCTTACGCGGTACTCTTCCACAATGATCTCAAGGTTGATCCCTGCTTTGCCCCTTGCTCTCGTTAACCTTCTTCTCATTGCTATACATTCATTTCTTCGTGCCTCGATGTCCGCATTCCACCAGTATGGCATCTTGTTGACATCTCAGCGACCTATCTTGCTTCGTGACCACGTGACCTGCCCATTGATCATTTAGTTATAAAAAGTATGTCTAAGCTATAATATTTCTTTTGCACTAAAATTATTATTTCTTTTGTAGAATAGGTATGTACGATTATGTATACGCTGAAGTTTTCTATTCTAGAAAAAGTAAAAATAAAAGTAAAAATAAATTACCACTGGCAAACCTGGCTAATCCCTCTTTGTACATATAAATTATTAACGGATTGAAACTAGTTACTAAAACATACAGTCTTAGATCAAATTTGCTACCATTTATTAAATAAGGATTGGAAATGTATTTTTGAACTATAAGGGATGATTTCTTTGGAAGTTGAGACCATTTATTTATCACTTTTATGCCGACTCCTCGCGCAGAAGCAGGCTGAAAAACAAGAATTTTCATAAATTAGCAATAAAATATACACTCCCAATCATAAAATTCGGGCCACCTTGAAAATTTCAAGTTTTTTGAATATTTTTGTCTCTGGTGCTGTAATAACCTTTTTTAGGCTAATGTATTTTTTATTTGTCTTCCATATTTGCTTAAAAAATGGTTTTTTGTTTTTATTAAAAAAAGCACAAAACAAACCAAGTTGTTGATAAAACAGTTTGTTGAAATTTCAATGAATAATATCGTGTATTGGCTCCCCTTGTTCTACTAATCTCTTGCAGACGAAGGGACATACTCTCAATTTTTCTACAGATTCCATGTTGTGGTATGTTACTCTACTCTCTCACTAACATATTAAGCTCTTGTGCATTGTTTGGAGGAGGTGTATGGTTTTGGATACGTTTTTTCAAATCGTCCCAGAGATGTTCCATGGGATTCAGGTTCGGAGACCTAACTGATCAGGGTAACCTCGTAATTCCAACCTCGTCCAAGTATTGCATACTGATCCTGTCTGCCATGGTGGACATAAAACGTTCTTCCAGAATCTCCGTAACGTTTCTTCGTGCAGTTAAGCACCCATTTTCGAAGAAGGGTATTCTGTGCGGAAGTCGGAAGGTAGGTACACCTCTCTAAGCCATGACTGAGCCTCCACCAAATGACATTCTTGTGAAATGCAAGTTTGTGAAATTCCAGATAATCCAGAAGAATGAAGTCTTCTCCTGACTGTTGCAACGCTAACATTGCGATTTCGTACTTCCTGTAAATTATTTCGATGCATAACCGCAGTTAAAGTCCAGTTTTGTAAAGCATGAAACACAAGAAAACGGTCATCTCGTGCCGTCTCCTGAAAGCGTTGAAGCAGTCGTTGAACGTCGTAGAAAGGCTTACGCCAACAGTTCTTGCAACTTGCCGTTGAGTGTGACCGTCTTCCACAACTTCGTGAAGTTTCAACAACAGTCAAAGGCATTTGTGGCAAAAAATAAACAATAATAAACACTAATAATGGCTTGTTAATAATAAAATATCGGTGATTTTCAAGGTGACCTGGATTTTATGATCGCGAGTGTATAATCAGAGAAAAAATGAACGATTTAGAAATCACGTCAGTATAAAGAAAATTCAAAACAGAACGATAAATAATAGTATAAATACTCACCGGTTTTATAATCCACATTTCACCACCATTGCCATTTTTATATTCCCAACATTGCTTTAATAATTTAAGTTCCTTGAGGTAGAATGTACGTATGAGGTAAAAATCCAAACCTGTAATAAATAGATTTCATTAAAAATTTTACAATCCAATTATTAATATAAAAACGAACTTGTGCATGGCAAATATACAGGGTGGACCAAAAGACTAGGAATAACTAATCATCTCTTAAATGGATCATCAACGAATTGTACAAAAACTGGGATACGCACATTCTGCAATATAGAGATTTCAAATTTGATGCTTGCTGTGTTGCCAGATTTACCATTTTTCTGATATCATTAGTCACTTTGGTTTGTTAAATACAACACTCTAGCCTGGAACGCCAGGAAATGTTAAAACTCAGTCTAGTGTACTTATTTTGAAAAGCTAGCGCCACTCCCTGCCAAAAAATTATAAAAAAAGTTACAAATCACGTGTAACACAACACTCAGGAATTTTCACTTCCAAGCCGCTAAAGAAAAAATTAGAAATAAAACAAGACAAGAGAAATCCTAAGAAAAAAGCTGATCAGGTCAAGACAACTGAAACCAGGAAGAGAACGACAGGAATCGTAGGAAATCCCACAAAATGGACATAGGCGATAATAATTCCATTACTAAAACCAAATAAATCACGAATTGATCCTGATTCCTATAGACCAATTTCTCTTGCTAATACAATGTAAAAAATCATTCACGTGGATCAAACAGATCCACATAGATAATTTAATAGACCTGGAGTCCAAAATAAACGAATAATTTGCAATTGGACGTGGACAATGACCGCAACATTGATGAAAAAAGTAGAGGCCTTCGAAATGTGGGCTTGCTGACGTATATTACGTATATCCTTGACTGAGCACGTGACTAACGAAGAGGTACTACGCTGGATAGGTAAAGAGAGAGAGGTAGGAATAAGTATAAAGAAAAGAAAGTTGGAATACTTGGGTCACGTTATGAGACATAATAAATATAGAGTACTACAGCTGATCGTTCAAGGAAAATAGACAGCAGAAGGGGTCCAGGAGGAGAAGACACTCGTGGCTCCAAAACTTGCGGCAATGGTTGGATTGTCATCTGCTGAACTATTCAGATCTGCCGTAAACAAAGTCAGAATAGCCATGTTGATTGCCAACGTTCGGAGCGACAAGGCACATGAAGAAGAATAAATCACCTTGAAAACTGGTCAAAATCTGTGGGATTGCAATTCTCTACAACCAACACCAAACGTATTTTAATATTGTTCTGAAGCTATTTTCTTGTGGCATTTTAAATTAATAACTATTTAAATGGGAATAAGCCACAATTAAAGGCAGAAATTTATTTCTCTCTCTTTCTGTTAGGTAGACTAAATATTCTGTTCTATGTTGACAGAAGAGCTAATTCCATCATAGACATTTGTTTTATGGCATCTGTGCTTTATTGTAGTAACAACCTTTGTCCCGATTTATTTCAGCCAATCAGCTGTTCTAACGTGGTGGGATATTCTTTTTTGTGTGTAGTTGAAATTTTCATTGTTTAATTCATAGTTTAAGACAAGACGGATTCACACTTGAGAGACTAAACTAACCTGAATTTAATTTAATAACCTGAGACTAAGCTGAATTTTTCAGTTCAAACAAAAATTGATGCATTAGACGGTTAATAAATGTAAAAACTCTTTTTATTTGATAAATTTGGGCCTTTTACACAGTGAGAAAGGCAAATATAGAAAGTTTGGATTGAATTGCAATGTAATTGTTTCTAGAAACTGAATTAAAATATTTTGCCCAACTTTAAGGATAGATAATTGAAATTATCTCTCTCTCAATATTAAATAAAGTGTATGTTGAACATCATTGAGACGTTCTTGGCTTTTTTTTTTCAAAACTATTTAGATTTCTTTTGATATTTATGATTTTACCTAACATTTTCCTTAATCTTGTTTTATTGTAGCAAACAGTACTTTAAATAATCTTTTTTATTGGTCCATAACAGCATTTACGCAGTGATAAATCTATGTGATTCACTAAAGATAAAACGATTTAAAATACTCGTTTAAAACATAAATAGACAATTAACAAACTTCACGAATTTTAAAAAATCGTTCATGTGAGTGCCAGGAAATTGTCATCAGCTGAAATTTGGCAATAATTTCGACTATTTCATGAAATGTTTTCATAAATCTTAAAGATCTGTACAATAAATTGTGTACATATATTTATAGCAATGCAAGTAAATTTCCAAAACAACCATAAAATGTTCTATTTCAAAATAATTTCGTTGTATCTTTATTTAAACAAAAATGGATTTTTTATAAAAAGAGCAGCAGTTATGTCAAGCAAGAAAATATGAAAAATAAAAACTAGTATAGTACGTTGCAAGATAATTCGGATGGAATTCCTCAGATTAAGAGACTGGGCCGATACCAAGCACAAAATGCTGTAACGAATAGTCACCCTTAGTATTTCGTTACATTAGGTTCAATTTTAAATTATATCCAAAGTTTAAAAGTACTATACTAAATGATAAAAACAGTGGAGCACGTAGAATTTTCCTCTGGGAGGGGGGGGGGTGTTTGGTTGGGCACCGATTTTTTTATGCTACCTCCACCATTTTAAGTCCTTAAAATTTGAAAGTAACAAATAGTGCCCTGGGGGGTTTAACCCCCAAAACCCTCCTGGGTACGCCACTGAATAAAAATAGAGGTAGCCAGGTACGCATTTGTACTTCATTTGCAATTCAGAATTACAAATTTCTAGGTACGTAAAGCCAGTGTTTAAAAGAGATTAGAAAATTTCTTGGAATTTTATTCAGGTAAAAGGATGTTTACTTTGAGTAGTTTAGTAGAGTAGAGTAGTAAGAAAGTTTATTTGAAAAGGCTTCATTTTTCTTTTGTCGTTTATTTAGAACAGAAGTCAGTGTAATAACTATAAATATGAGTGATATAGAAATGAATAGTGACGATGTCCTGTACATTCCTGTCACTATTTCAAAAAGCGAAGACGAGTCTGAACCTGAAAAATGTTCTAGTTATATTCATCTCATATACGACGCACAGCAAATCGTGCTTAATGTTTACACCGGTAAGTACTCATTAAAAATACTATTTAGTTAACCTTCTTAATACCGGGTGAATTTTAAAACGACCACTTGGGGCGACTTCTCACCCCAGTAGTTTGATTCACTTTTAAGTGCAAGGATTCTATATATCTCATTAATCTTACTCTTTTTTTAACTCTTTATTATCTGTATACTTTATTTAGTGCCAATTCAACGTAATAAAAATCAAAGATAGAAGACAGTCACATTCAAAAACTCACCAAATAAACAGGTAATTTTAGCAGTTATCAGATATCAGACGTATAGTATTTATAAAGTCAGTTGAAACATTTTATTTGAATGCCATATATAAGGGGAGTTCAATATCACATTTATCGGTAATCAAATCAAGTTATAAATAACACGCGTCAATGTTTCGAACGTATTTGAACAATCCCTATATTCCGTATAAGAGAGATAGAAAAAACAGAGCATGAAAGTTACATTCCCTCAAATAAATATTGGACATTGACTTGTTATCCAAAATCACCAAAATTTTACGCACTGCTTGGACGTTCGCTACCGGTTGCTAACGCCGGCAATTATGCAGGTAGATAAGAACCGGCTATTGAATTATGCCAGTGCTGTGCATAATTCTAAATGTTAGTTTAGTATTTTACGACGCGACCTGTTATTGTTATAAGTGATAAATAATTATTATACTCTAAATATGGCCTTTTGGCGACCATTTGAAAATGCGGAAAATATTAACCCAGAACCGAATTGTGTTGAAAATAGTTTAGAATTTAAGAACAAAGACCTAGATGTGCAGTGTCAACGTATTGTTTTAAACATATATGAGTGTTTAAAAAAAGAAAATGAACAAAACTCTGACAGAACTATTATAAATAGAATACGTGAACTTACCAAACTATCACTATCAACAATTTATCGTATTGTGAGGGAAGGGAACGTAATAAATCACTGTTTAAAACGAAAACGAAATAATCAAAAATTCAGAAAAATAGACGATATGGATAAGAATATTATTCGAAAAACAGTGTATAACTTGTACAAGGAAAACAAGGTACCTACACTGCATATGATCCAGGATGCTCTAAGAGAATACCCTGATTATGACTACCGATGTTTAGCGACATTACGAAATATTTTAATAGACTGTGGGTTTAGATATAAAAAATTAAATAATAGAATGGTAATAATGGAGTCGCAGCGAATAGTCAAACTTAGGCAGGAGTATTTACATAAAATTAAAGAATATCGACAGTCCAATAGATTAATAATATATCTAGACGAGACGTGGTTTGACACACACGACGTCGTTAAGTATGGTTGGGTAGATAACTCTCAGAGCTGCTGTTTAAATACACCATGTTCAAGGGGAAAGCGCATAATAATCTTGCATGCAGGTAGTGAACAAGGATTTGTACAAAATGCATTGCTACTATCTGCCAAAAACATCAACGAATCATCTGCCGATTATCATGAAGACATGACCGCTCATTTATTTGAAAAATGGTTTAAGGAACAACTTCTTCCTAATATTCCGCCCAACTCTGTAATTGTCATGGACAATGCTTCTTATCATTCACGACTATTAAGAAAAATACCCAACAGTAGTACTAGGAAAGATGATATTATAACTTTTTTGAGAGATAATAAAATACGCATTCCTAATAGAGTCCTTTTAAAGAAAGATTTATTAAGTATTGTAAAGTCCCACAGTTTTAACAAAGAATACGTACTTGACGAACTATGTAAGATACAAGGACATACTATTTTACGCTTGCCACCTTATTACTGCATTTTTAATCCTATAGAAATGATTTGGGGAATATTAAAGACGCGCTTAAGGAAACGAAATGAGTCACCGACATTGAACGCAGTCCAACTAGACAACATACGACAAGCAGTCAATGAGTTCGATAGTGAGATTTGGAAGAACTGTGTCTCCCATGTTATCGACATAGAAAATGAATATCCCATAGTGGATCGTACCACCATCCCAATTGTTATTCAGCCTAATTTGGACACCGATTCTAGTTCTGATTATAATTCTGATTAAAGGTATGTGTGAAATAGTTGTTCATGTAATCATACCTTGACTATAACTAGTCTATGTATTCATAGTCTGTTTATTAACTCAGTTCGTTAAATGATTTCGGAATACAACTTTGTCTACTATACAAAAATGTGTTTTAGTTATATGAGCCCCGTCTCAGTGAAGTTGACCCAACCAAGAAAACTATCGTTTTTGGTACAGAAATTTGCCTATTTTCTATATTTACATCTAAATTATTAATGTTACGTTGATCAGCAGTTTTTAAAGAAATATTTAGAACATTAAAGTCTTAATGGTAATTAAAATAAACTTAATTATGTTTTTATGCGTTTAATAATTAAGCATGATAATTTAGTTAATATATATAATTGGGTTTCCCATTTCAAATACCAAATGTTTTCTTTTAATATTATTCATTATACAGGGTTGCAGAAAAAAATTTGTATGCAACACATGCATAAGATGTCTTTTTTTCACTCGTGGAATTACCGCACTTGCCTGTTGGCTAGTGCAGTTATTCTTTCCATTCGTGAAAAAAGTACCACTTTATGCACTTGTTGCATAAATTACTATTATTTTAAGACGCCGCAAAATTGAGTTGTCATAATAGATCACGCACTCTATCTCGAATGTCCATACACGTCGCTGCCACGCACAGTACACATTAACTTAAAATAACTTAACGTTAAATTAAATTAAATTATATTTGTTCCTAAATATGACACTTTGCACTATGTATTTTACGACCGTTTTACGTACATTAAAATTGTCAATTATATTCAAGGAATACTTGAATATAAAAATAAATGGTGCGCTCATGTCTTGTAATATTATATATTCTTTTAATGTTTGCTGCCGGCAACAAGTTTTTTTGGTGTTTCAACTGACTTTATAAATACTATACTTAGGGCTAATTGCACTTTACAAATTCTTAGAGAGCAATCCCAACTAGAAAGTGATGCTTCGAAGAATCTAGACAAAAATATGCTAATAGGGAAATTATAAAAGTTTCCACTGTATAATAACCAGAATGGAATTTCAAAGATAAAGGAAACACATTATAATCTACTGCAAATATGTAAAGAATGCGACTGCACATATGGCAAGTAATTAGTACAGTCATTACTAACCATTTTCCAAAACTTTCGTCTAAACTGATAAAATCAGATTTGTAGAACGTGAAAACACTCGATGCCACGTGGGGCGAATTATCGCCCCACATACATTTCCGCAAATTCCGACGAGATATTTAATTGTCTGTTCGCGGTATTTTGGGTTTTATTACTTCTTGGTGCTCTTAACACATCAACTACCAATTCCTAAACCGTCAAAGTGATTGATTAAACTTAATTACAGATATTAATAGAAACGTTAGACCTAGGGTGAGAGATTGGGTGAGATGAGACCTAGGGTGACATATTTACCGATTAATTAATTCATAAAAAACACAGCATTCTGAGAAAAATTCCTTACGGTTTTTTTGACACAAGTGCCACGATCCACTGTGGACGAACTTATAAAAGACGGTCCAGTGTTGCGAAAAAAAAAAAGGATTCTGGTGCCTATCGAGTATTCAGTATATAACTTACCAACTTTAAATAAACTTTTGAGTGAATTAAGAAACAAAGAAAGTCGTTTCATAAAGTGGAGGTTCGATTATTTGGAGAGTCTAAGGTCTTTTAGGAGTGAAGGGAAGAAATTGTATTATTTGGATGAAACTTGGTTCGACACCCACGATATAGTTAAAAAATGTTGGACCGATGGGAGTAAAAATTGCGTCACCAATGTTCCTCCCTCTAGAGGGAAGAGAATTTGTATTTTACATTGTGGGGAAGAATCAGGATGGGTAGAAGATGCTTTATTACTCTCTGCTAAGAGTGTAAGTGATTGTCGCTTAGATTATCATCAAGATATGGACAGTACTCTGAAAAGTGGTTTGAGCAGCAATTACTACCTAAATTAAAAAGAAACAGCGTTATTATATTGGATAATGCTCCGTATCATTGTACACTAAAGAGTAAAATTCCAAACACTAATTCAAACAAAGCTGAAATTCAAGAATTTTTATCAAAAAGTTATTAATTATTAAATTAGTTAAGTGTGAAAAAAAAATATGTATCGGCAGGCTAGCTGAGAATTATGACCATAAAGTATTAAGATTACCTCCTTACTATTGTGTACTGAATCCAATAGAATTGTTGTGGTCTCAATTAAAAAGTAATGTGAGGAAAAATAATAATTCCCCTAAATCATTTCGACTGTTGTAGATTTAATGAAAACGAGAACTTACTCTTTAGCGCCGAATTTTGACATCATTCTTTGGAAATTCCTCCAAAGCCGATCTTTCCTTCCCAACTGAAACGTCCCAGGAAAATGATTAAGTTTTTGTGTTTCCTTTAAAGTCTTAAACATTGGGGATTTCATATGTTTACCCCACGTACCCAACCATTGGTTAGACTCTGCAAGAACAAAAATTACATTAGTATAAAAATATCTGTTGCAAAATTTACAAGGTTACTTTTGGGTTCGTTTTGAGGAAGCACTATGGGAGACTTCGTTGTTTACATTAATTCCGGGATAGGAATAGGCAAAAAGACGACATGTTTCAAATATGTATAGCTCTTAAGTTTTAGACAACACTTAGTTTATGTGCAGAAAATTGTTTAATAGTACTTGTTGACTGTAAAAACTAGATTGTTGTAGCCCATTAGACAGAGTGACAACAATAGGATTATCAGTAAGGGAAGCAAGTGTAATGGGTTCGTACTATTTATACCTATACTTTTTCTACGATGTCTTTTGTACCTATACTTCTTTGGTATGTATTGAAATCACCCCGTACCGAAGAATATTTTCAATGTATTTCTGTTTCCCATCGTACAAGTTAAAACATCGAAATATTATTTCAATCCTTTTTGCGTCGCCGAGGTTGATAATAAGCACATTTTAAAGTTTCTTTATATATCACAGATGGGTATTTCCTCGGTATTCTTTGATCGAGAACCAGTTTAGGATATTTTGCGTTGTTTTTATATTTGTTTATACCGAGTTGGGCGAATGAATTTTGAAGATAATTACATCACTCTCGCTGGAGCCGCTGTCAGAGGCAGTTGGTTTCAGTGTTAGTCCAATTTTTTTTTAATTTGTAATGTTTTTTGTTTTTCGTCCTTTGTCATGGAAAATGTGTAATATAGTAGCAGTGTGAAGTTTTATGTGTAGTTACAGTGGAGGTTTGGAAGAGAGGTTATGGAGATCAGACAGCGTTTGAGTGAACCGGCAAATTTGTTAAAAAAAAGTGATCTATACTCAATGTAATGTGTCCATTCTAAAAGAGTAATCACTGTTTTTATTTCTATACCGTCTCTCATCCGAGATATTTGTAAAATGGCGTTTACAACAACTTTGAGGGATAACCATATGTGTTTCATTTTTTTAAGAAGCCGAGTTTACTTGGCTAAATGACATATAAAGAAATTTTGGAAAGGCGGCAGCACCACTGGTGTAAATGATAGAAGAACTACAGCTAAGCAGCTAAGTGGGTCGATAATTTCGTAGTTTGCATTGCTTCAAATAGATATGGTATACATCGAATAACAAATGTTAGACGTTATTAGCAAAAGGAAAAAAACATACAAGTTAGCAGACCAGCAGTACTTGCAAAGTATAACAAAAAAAATGGGCTGAATACATCAGAAAGTTGGACATACAGGATTCAAATTAGAAACAGAAAATGGTACTGGGCATTGTTTACATAGCTTTTTGATGTTTCAGCCAATAACACGTGGTGTTTGTATCGAAAATCAAACAACTCTCAGATATCGCAAATAGACTTTCGAAGGGCTATCGTGCAAGTTGATTTGAAGAAATATTCGTCATCTCCCAAATGCACTGGCAGGACTCCATCTCCATTTCTAATGCACAAAGAGTAGCCGATGAAATTAGATAGGAGAGGATGGAACACCAAGTGGATAAAATTCCAAACGACAACAGAAGACGTTGTGTTGAAAGATTTTGCAAAAATGTAAAATATGTAACTTAGGTCTCTGTATTGGTTGTTTTGTTACCTGTCACACAAACCAAAATGTTTAAATTCCTTTTTCATTATTTTCAGTTTTACAGATATATTTTGTTTTTTTGCACCCATTAGCTCCTAGCGTTACATATATGTAACATCATATACTGAGTGATTTATAAATCCGAATGCATAAATTCATTTTATTTTTAAGTTTTTTAATAAAACTGCTCCCAAAAAATATTGGCATCACATTAAAAACTGGGCACTAATGGGTTAAGTAAGTCTGAAAACGTTCTATTGTGATGTAGTCGGAAAGGGTCTTTGTAATTATATACCTTTTAAAAAGTATTTTTAAATAAAACTATTGTGATTTATGGTATACAGCCAACTACAGGAAGTTTAATTTCCTTGTGGAAAAAAAGTGTTGCCTAAAACCTATTTTTAACGGTAATTATTTTTACCGAAAAACATATCTACTATTTATGTACATTTTAATATTTTTCGCATATTTGGCTATTCGTCAAATCTTGAAAGTGCTCTAAAAAGGGATTAATGGAATGGATAGGGGGCACACCTCTGGTAAACTCACTTCTAATAAGAACAAAACCCGTGTTTGTTAAGGTTTTTCTAACTATGAGCGGAGTGATGGTACTGAGCTTCCACTTAAAATATTTCTTGGCATTGGGAATTTGTACTTCCGCTTCGACATCGTGCAACTTAAACCTAATGTAGGGTGGAATGTTTGGAAATAAACTTTGTCTAATTGGCCAGTTGACTGCATCTCCAGAGCCTGTAACAAAAATATAGCATTCAATAAAAATGCGATTGAGGAACAATGGTAACACTTTGGTAGAATTACTATAAACTGATACATTTGTTGATTCATGTGTAAAGTTGGCAAATAGTTATTTGTAAAATTGATTTTTCGCTTTAAAAAAGTTTGAAAAGTGAAGAACAAAAAGGCAGTTCAAGTGCGGCAATCAAAAGAACAAGGAGAGACACTGACAGTTATTGCGTGTTGTAATGCTGAGGGAAGTTTTTTACCTCCCTACGTAGTGTTCAAAGGTGTATATAAATAACAAGTGTGGCTCGATAATATGCCTAACGGTTCTGAAGTGGTGATGGGTGGAAAATCAGCCTACATAAATAAATGAAGACCTCTTTAAAAATTGGCTGGAAAACCACTTTATTCCAAGGAAGGCAGCTGGTACATGCCTATTACTGCTCGACGGACACGGATCTCACACGGAACTCACCGGACATAGAGATAGCGCTGGAAAATGATGTCCACTTTCTCTGGCTTCCCAGCCACACGACTCATTACTTACAGACTCTCGACCGATCGTTTTTCAAACCGTCGAAGGCCTATTACCGAAGTGCAGCTATCGAATGGGGAAATGCAAATCCTGGAAAGAAGATAGAACGCAAGCACTTCGGCCAACTTCTACAGAAAGCCTGGTCACAAGCTGCATCAATGTCTACGGGTTCAGCAGGCTTCCGGGCCTGCGGGGTGTTTCCATTCGTGCCCTCCTCTATTCCTGATTACGCTTACCTACAAGAAACCTTGGAGTCCAACTCTAATGGACAAGGACGACGAAAGTGTTAGCTCAGCCTTGGATCCTCAACGAAAAAGCGAAAAAGAAACAGCATGCTCAACTTTTGACAACGCCTAAAAATATAGAAGCTAAGAAGGCCAAACGAGCAATCAAATTGCAAAGCAGGAGAAGAGATTCAAGCTTCGAAAGCCAGCAAAAAAGAAGATCTTACTAGAAGAAGAATTGCCATCATCTGGAGGCGAGTGGGACGAAAAATCCTCCGATGATGAAATTGTAGATGAGGAAGATTTCCTCCAATGTGTAGAAAGTGTTAACGTCGACGACTACGTATTGGTTGAGTTTCCAGGAAAGAGCAAGCCATTATATTATGTCGGCGTAGTCATTAGCATCAATAATGATGGCGTGGAAGTTAACTTTATAGAGAAAGGAAAGGTTCAGTTCGCCTTTCCATTAGCTGAAGACATCGGCATTGTCAAAATGGAACAAATTAAGAAAATCGTGCCAAAACCTAATGTTCGTCGTGGACACTTCAATTTTGTTGTTAAATTCCCTAACACCATGTCAGTTGTGTAGACAGTTTTATTTCACCTCATTTCATTAAAAGTTGCAAAGTTAATCATTCTGAGTTTTTATTTTTGGTTTACATGTAATTTCCCATAAGTCATATCCCCAACACCTAGTTCGTCATATTAGCCCCCCCCTGTCGGGAATATGACGCAAAAGTTGACTTTTTTGTTTTTTAAATTATAGTAATTCTTATTGTAGGATTTAGCTGGAATTTATGCTGTGAGTACCTGATAATACTAGGTGTTATAAACAGTAATCAACATGTTATTATCGGTATTACCGTTTGAGATCTGCCAAAAACCCGAATTGTACGTCATATCCCCTACATTTACCTTATATTATATTTTTTATTTAATTTTTTCGGGTAGATTTGGAGTTACAACTTTCATTTTAAAGTCTTTACCTGATTTTTATTTAGTGGTAAACAGTCGAAGTGCCTCAATTTTGGTCAGGTAAAAGAAATTTTTGATATTTGTATAGCTTAGTACTTCAATTAGTTATTTAACTAAATTTTAAAAAATGCCGAACATGCATTTTTTTAAATTTTTGACTTTCATGTTATAAAACTTTAAACCTTGTTTTCTCGAATACTGGCTAAAATGGAGATACAATCCTTTACCTCTAAGGTACAGAATTATATTTTGATAAGAACAGCTGTTGAAATATACAACTAGAATATTTCAAATATAAACTTTACTACGCCTCTGGAATAAACAACATGATTTTGACCTATATCCTAAAGAGGTGTGCAGAATTACACACAATTAGTAAATATTTTCAGGATTTTTTAAAGACCTTGTAACATCTATTTATAAGACAATGAATTATCTGAAGCAAGATAGAATTCAAGACTACTACGCTAGTATAATGGATTTATTTATAGAATACGAATCGTATCTCAATACTCATTCATAGACGCTTGTAATAAAAGGTGGGAATATTTATGGAGCACTTTGTAATGTATAAAATTCGAATGGCTTCCGATTGAATAAATTCCGGATAGTCTGATTCATTTGACGCTGTTTATGCTATTAATAGTCCAGTCGTCATAGATTTGGTCTCTAAAAACGAGAAGAACAAACTGAATTTTGTTGAGAATGTCAATTTTGGGAGACAAAAAAGTTCTACTACCCCCTAAAAAATCCCCTCGTAGGGGGGAAAAGGGAAAACATCGATTTATCAAGAATCTGTACGCAGTAGAAAAAAATGTTTCAAATAAAAATGTAGCTGAGGTAATTTTAAACAAAAATGTTTATAAGCATTTTTTGTGTAGAATGAACCGTTTTCTCAGAAACAACGCTTGAAGGGACCGAACGATTTTAAATGTCAGTTACGCGCGCGAAATCAATTTTTTAAATAAAATTTGTATCAACTCGAAGGTAAAAATTCATCGCTGGACAAAAATCATAGCTCACAGCACAGTCATAACTTTTTAACCGGAAATGACATCAAAACCGAAACTAAATATTTGAGCTCAACTTTTCAATACGCGTAGATTGATATATCACTGTGCGACTATAATGTAGCTCTTCCGTTTACAACTTTTTAACCGCAAGTGATAAAAAACCGGATGTATACAGTATGTACAGTATAAATCCCGATGCACGTCATCCGCCTCAAAGAAAGTGACGTCACATGATACCAGCACAAAATTTTAAGTCGTAGGACTGTTCCTTCTTAGAATCTTTTAGCCAAGTACACTAGAATTGTAGCCACTGGACATTTTTTTATATACACGTAGAAATAAAATATTTGAAGATTTCTATTGATGCAAACTTAAATAAACACACCATAATTTGTTTCATTTACAACATTCACAGCAAAGTTTAGCTTGTTTGTATAATTTTTAGAGGTTCAGTGGCATTTTCGACTCTGGACGACTGCACTAAAAAGACTATCAGGAAATAAAAATACTGGAGTACATAACCTCACTCGAAACGACCAACACCCTGGTTAATTGAATTTCAAAAATACCTTAAAAGCGTAAATATAAACGAAACATACATCACCGACAATAACACCTTCAGAGACAAAGTAGAAAAATGGGACATAACGCCAGAGCAATCTGAAGCAATACAGATCAAAATATTCAGAAGAATGAAAACATTGTTTTTTGTTCAATGAATACTGGGCAAATAAAAATAAGACTAACAAGAACTTATTCACGTTGCTTATCGCTTTCCTTTAAGGGAGAATTCGTCAATAATAATGAAAATAAAGATTACCAAGAAATAGGTAGAAGAAGGAGAAGACATTAACCAACTATAGACAAATATAGGAGATATTGTGTAACAGAAATCGGTTGAAATATTGGGCAAAACCAAGTCAGAAAAAAGAAATCAATTGGTTTGATCATGAATGCGAAATGGCCACAAACAGAAAGTATATCGCAGCATATCAAAAAAACAAAAGATATTGTTGGTCAATATCAATGCGGATTTACTGCTAGAAGGTCAACTATATAGGTTATTCCACGAATATACGACTGTTTGGAATTATTGCTACAACGAATATTTTACTGTACAAGTAGAAGTATGAAAGTAAATTGGTCTAATTATTATTCCATAAAAAAGGATCTTCTGTTACTATGACATATAAACTAAAATTATTTCAGTTAGTAGATGTTCAGATAGACGCAAAATTTATTGTGAAAATTAATCCGAATATAACAAAAAAATTTACGTAAACGCTCCTATTATACAAATAAATAGAATGACCTCTATGAAGTTAAAATGTGTTCATCAGCCATTTGAGTTGGATTTCGGTGAAATGTAAACACCAAAGAGGCGCGCCGGGTATCTTTATTACTTTAGGTACTACTTACAACGGTAATAAAAGAAATATATTATTTTTAATATAAATAACAAAAAATTGGCAGAACGATGGTTCAAAAACCAGAAAAAGAATCTAGTATTCCACTTTGTTAGTTTTTTGTTTGCTTTGAGTGGATATACTCTTAAAAGTTCCGAAAGTAACGGGTATAACATGGTGGCTATTGATAGTTAAAGTACCGAGTCATTACAGATATTAAAAAGTAACAAAAATTTACATACAGTTTCATAAATCGCCGACTGATTTTAGTTTTAAAAACTGTCCGTATAGAGGTGTCCGGTGAAGAGACGTGTTCGTTAAGAGTTTAGTGTAGTGTATTTGTTTGTAATGATGATTAGGAGAATAAGAGTAAGAGTAAGTTTTTTTGTTTTTTTAATACTTATTGAATATTCGACTAAATAAATTAAACTATTTAATCACTTAAGTATTGTTACACTTCGTTTAAATCACTTAATTCAAAAACCAACTTGTGTACAATACTAAAGTCAATGAGAGTAATTATACGAGTATACTTCAAAATCTAAATTACAACTATTCTATAAACTATCAATTCTATATTTAGATCATAACTTAATATTTAAATCTAAGGTGTATATCTGTCATAACAGTATGTATTTTAAAAATTGGGAGAATTTACCATTGTAGAATTCAGCACATTGGACCATTTAAGTCGACACCTTAAAGCGAATTTAAAACAGTCGTATATTCGTGGAATGGAGTATACATCAAATTCAAGCCCATAGGCAGATTCTAGAAAAGTCACTAGAATATAACATCGATACACACCATCTCTTCGTCGACTTCAAAGCAGCCTATGACAGTGTGAAAAGAACTGCGTTATATAATCCAATGATAGACTTTGGGATCCCACCTAAGTTAGTTAAGTTGACCCAACTAACAACACAAAACGTAAGTCATGTGTTAGAATTGAAGGAAAAAACTATACGCTCTTTGACATTAGTAATGGTCAAGACAGTGGGACGCGCTGGCGTGTCTCCTCTTTAATATTGCTTTCGAAAAGGCAATCAGACAATTAACTATTAGAATGAATGAAACTATTTTTAATAGATCGACGCAAATTCTCGCATTCGCTGACGATATAGTTATAGTCGGCAGAAGTATGCGAGACATGGTGCCGTGTTTTACAACGCTTGCGGACGCGGCAAGTGAATTAAGACTTGTGGTAAACAATGAAAACACCAAATATATATTGGTTTCTAAAACCCTCCAAAAAATCTAACCGAGATTTCAAATTAACAACCATACTTTTGAGCAAGTCAAAGAATTCACATCTTGGATCGCTAATAAACGCAACAAGCACGACAAGCGACGAAATAAAAAGACGCAAAGCAATAGCAAACAGAACTGTTCACGGTCTCCAGAAACATTTAAAAAATAAAAATATAAAACGTGCACTGTGCAGTAAAGCTCAATATATACAAAATCTTAATAAGGCCGATTTTGATATATGGGGCTGAAATGTAGACCTTAGCTGAAAATGATGAAAGACTTCTTGGTATAAGAGAACAATTCTTAGAAAGATTTTTATGGCCTTAAATGAAAATGGTTATGGCGTCGATGATACAACTTTGAACTATATCAGTTATACACCGAAATTCGTTATCGAAATTTAAGAGACTTATAAGGGTTTTACACATTACTAGAATGTCAGATCACGAATACACGAAGAGATTAACATTTTCAAAACCAGAGGGCACAAGAAGTAGAGGACGACCACGAAGGAGATGGATTGATGATGTGGAAAAAGACCTACAGATTCTAGGGGTCAGAAAATGGAGGGAGGTTGCCAGGAATTGAAAGGAGTAATGACTTCTTTGTGAACAGGCTAAGATTCACAACGGAGTATAGAGCCACTTATGATGATGATGATGATGATGAAGAAATAGGTTGAATACAGATCTTCAAAACTCTAAGTTCGCCAAAAAGAAAGCGAAAGTAAAAATGAAATAAAAAGATGACAAAAACAACGGAAAAAATATTTTTCCGTTTTAATAATGAAGAATTTGATAAAAACCAATGAAACTGAAGTATGATGTACGGAACTGGACGTTGGCAGTTAAAAAGAAAGAAAAATAACGACTTAACGTGTCAGAAATAAGAATTCTTCATATCCGTAATCCTTAGTTGAACGCAGACAAAAAATTTTTTGATAATGAATGACAACTGTGTAGCTTGCATAAAAATAAAGCTTAAAAAAATTTGCAAGCATGAATTTTACATTTAGGTTTTTTGCAATATCACTATTATTAATATATTCTGGAAATAAATTTTATCTCTGTACTCCAACAAGGTCAAGTGTTCGGTAGACAATTTTAAATTGAAAAATATTCTAAACAACATTTTACAATTAATCTTGATATACATTTTTATCTCCACATGTTGTAACGTGTTACAAATTTTTGGATGACATTAACTAATTTCTTTTATTTTTAAATTTAACTTTTGTTTTGACTTGAGATAAAGTTCGCTACTTTTTAAATAGGAGGTTTTAAAACAAATACATTTCAAAAGTAATATGTCTATAAAAGTTAGTTTATAGACCTGTAGTATTAATAAGTATTTTAAACAGGTTCACCAAGATATTGATTTTAGCTACTGACTGCACTTTTGCATCGCCAGAACAACTTGACGTCTTATCGTATGATCAGTTACGTTTTGATGATTTTCTAGTCAACCACATTGTTACAAAAACCAGATCAAAAAACAAAAAACAAGATCATGGTCGCCAGTTACTGTTGAAGAATTGAATGTTTTTCTTGTAATGAAAATACTTCAAGGAATTGTCAGTAAACCTGAGGAAAGAATGTACTGGGCAACTTCAGAAGTGATGCGAGTCAATCGTTACTTGTTGGAAATTCATTTTATCTAACACTGAAAACTTTTAATTATAATTATCACTACAGCTGTTTCGGTAGAGTACCTTTCTCAAGTGATCTATTTTTGGTATGCGTCTGTATTTTTTAATTTGTCTTTTTTTGTTTGTCTAATAAAGATAGCTTAAGGCCTTTATTTTGAATGTGAAGGATTTAAAATTCGTAATTAAAAGAAAGATTATGGTCTAGAAAGAGAAGTGCGTACATAGAATCTGTTTTTCTATTATTAACAGCCCTTTTATGTTCTGCTATACGTTTGTTAAAAATTCTACCGGTTGGACCGATTTATGTTGTTTGTTCTAAAAGCTGGTGTTATTCCTCTTTTTTTATGTGTTTGTGTTTAGATTTTGTTCATAAGACTTGTAGGTCTTTTAAGTTGTCCGCTAACACTATGGTGCCATCTGCATATCTGATGTTTAGTCGGTAACCATTTAGTAGAATACCTTTTTCAGTTTCGTGCAAAGCTTCGATAAATATTCTTTCAGAGTACAAATTGAAGATTAGAGGAGACAAAATACAGCCTTTCTCGTAATCAACCAGACATGCGGATACGCCTCTCTACTACCAACAGCATTTGTGAACCCGAACTGGTTGGGGGAAATTTTACTTTCACACAGCTTGTAGATTCTCTTATGAATTATCTTTAAGAACAATTTTAGGAGATAACCCATGAGGCTTAGTATGGATAGGGTTATGAACTACAGAGAACTCATGTTTGTTTTCAACTCTTATGATTTTTAAATCTAGAAAATATATGGATTGATTCTGTTCTATTTCTATTGTAAATTCAATATGACTATGGAGTGAATTAATATACGATAAGAATTTATCAAATTGCCTATTAGTTGTTGTAAAACATACCAGTACATCATCTATGTATCTCCACTAATATAAAAACTGTCTGAATACGGGATGATTTGGAATCTTTATTTCTAGATGATCCATAAAATATCTGTTAAAATATCTAAGCCCATTGCACCGTTATTTGTATATATTTGATTATTAAAAAAAAATTGTTTAATTTACTATTTGATTATTAAATTCAAAGTAGTCCTGGTTTATGCAAATTTCAAGAAGCTGTGAAATTTTAGATGTAATGATTGGATTTTAATATTATGACCTAGAAGGTTTTTTTCTAGAAGTAGTATTCTTTCTACAGAAACTTTTGTTCTGTAAAATGTGGCGACTTCCGACTTACGTCGGCCAAACTGGCAGGACTTTTAACAAACGTACAGCAGAACATAAAAGGGCTTTCAATAATAGAAAAACAAATTCAACCTACGCACTTCACCTTCTAGAGACTATAATCATTATTTTAATGACGAATTTAAAATTCTTCACATTAAAAATAAAGGCCTTGAGCTATGTTTATTAGAATCTATCTAAATTAACAAATTAAACAATACAGACATAATTCTGAATGACCCACTTGAGACAAACTGTTCTCCCCTCAACTTATTCAGTTAAATACTATAAAGTGTAAGAGCATACCAAAAATAGATCACTTGATGAATGATCACTCTGCCGAAACAGCTGTGTAATAAAAAAATAAAAATTATAATTAGGTTTGTGGAAATTTTGAAAACAAAAGTTTTCAATGTCTTATTGTTAGATAAACTTCAGAAGTATTTGAAACACCGATCTTCTCGAAGCTACTCGCTTACAGAGGGTATTATCAAATTCAAAATAATTTTTTGCAAAAAATGAAGACTACAATCCTGAAACTCATTTACAGCCCAAACTAAATAAAATGTAACCTGTCTTCCAAAGTATAAATAATAAATGTAGCTCATTATACATTCCTGAAAGGGAAATCATCATCAATGAAAGTCTTATGCTGATAAAGGGCGTCTAGGTTGGGTGCAATATATCCCACCGAAAAGGATTTGATTTGGAATCAAACTTTATTGTCCATGCGAGTCAAAGTCACAAATAAATGATAAATACAAAGATTTACCTATGTATTCTCAAGTTGCCTTGTAAATCTACTAAAAAATTAAGGAAAATTCACTGGAGTTTTCAAACGGAAAGTTCACTGGAAACGTTTGGAATTTTTGATTCATTTGGACTTATATTTTCACAGTTTTATACTCCGAATAAAAATCATAATTGCACTAAAGATAGAAACACGAATAACTACTTTATTTTCCCTATTACGTTGCACCATTTCCAGGAAATATCTAAACACACAGATAAAGTTCTCTCCACTAATATATTCTACCAAAATTCAATTCATCAAAAAATTTACTCTTAGATGTTGATATCTGCTTGTGAATAGAGACTATGGAAAATATTTATAAGCAAATTTATATTTTACTTGATGAAAAAAAAATAATTAAGGCCGGAGTAGGAATAAATTAAAAACGCAACCAAATTTTCAAAAATAAGAGAAACAATTAACTTACCAGTCTCAATCACGTTTAGAGATGTACAACTTTCAGAAGAATCATCGCTCTTATCTGTAGAATTTTCATCGGTATTACCCGCTTCATCGTCCAGATTTGTCTCATTTTCACTATCCGAACCACTACAGTCGCTGGAAAAAAAAACACCACGATTAATAAAAAAAGAACTTAAACCAAAGTTATTATAGCTATTACTCGCAATCAATTATGTCCAGCCGCATTTTTTATTAAAAACTAATCGATTGGCGCCAAAATAGGTGTCACTTTTTTTTGTTTACACTTGTGCACGTGTTCTTATTTTAGCTGCCAAATGTAAAATGCTTCCCTCATAAATGAATGTGGATTGTTCGCTGGTTGATCAGCGGACATCGGAAATTTTTCGAATCTTCTCAAAAGATTCGCAAGCACGACAAAGTTTGAAATAAAAGAGGCATGGGCGGCGCACACGTATTTGTTCAATTTTATTGCGGAGTATTACAAAAATTTACATAAACTCCCTTCTCCTCTCCTTATTATTATCTGTTAGAGAGAATAGTTTTCTCAATTTTTTTCAGATGACTCTCAAATTTATTTGAAAACAGTGATAATGGACCAACTAGACCCAGACATAGAAATAAAACATAGAATAGCAATGACTAAAACTACTTTTATGAAAATGTAGTCGTTTCTTTGCAATAATCATCTTAGTTTAGAACCAAGACAAAGAATGTTTAAGTGCTATGTTTGATCCGTACTTTTGTATAGTATAGATACCTTGGACAGCAAGGAAAACTAATGAAGAAGTACTAAGGAGCGTCAACAAAGATAGAGAGCTGCTAAAGACTGTTAAACATCGAATATTGTCTTATCTGGGACATATAGTAAGGGGAAGTCGATATAAAATATTACAACTGATCCTTAAAGGCAAAATAGAGGCGTAGGGTCGCAGAAAACAGTTGTTAAAAAACATTCGTAAATGGACTCAGATATCAAATGCAGGACAATGGTGATCGCCTTTGCAATGGTGATCGTCAACGTCGTATAATCCTGATATGGCACGCGAAGCAGAAGACGTAAACTTCGATTGTTGATTAAATACACTTGTACAGCAGTAAAATTTGACATTTTTTTGATCTCAACTTGGTATGGTATATTATTGACCACATATCACATGTTCGAAATACGACAGTTTTCGTATTATTAAAACGACCATAACTTAAAGCACTAGAATAACCAGTGAAAACGTATTTTCGTTATATACCTTTACGTAGTTGTGTCGGGTATTAATTATTTCTTGTTAGATTTTGTATAAATCCTCAGAGAGGAAATAAAAGAAAAAGGGTTACTTTGAGACATGCAAAAAATAATAAATTATCTTGAAGAAAAATGAAAAAAAGAAAACAAAAAAATTGAGTCTTGAAAATTTTTTAATCCGATATGTACACTAATTCGAAAATTTCATGACGTTTACGGGCGGAACATTTTGATCAATTGCAACTTAAGTATGTACAAAATTGTTTTGTATATACAGGGTGTAACAAAAAGGTAAGTCATAAATTAAATCACGTATTCTGGTACCAAAAATAGTTCGATTAAACATAACTTACCTTAGTACAAATGTACACATAAAAAAAGTTAGAGCCCTTTGAAATTACAAAATCAAAATCGATTTTTTTCGAAGATATTATTTTTTTTTTATTTTTACTGTATATTTTTTCAGCTGTTGTGTCAAGATGAATAAATTAATTTAATTAAATAAAAGTTTCTCTGGACGGCACAAACATTAAAACACAAACACAATATATTAGGCTGTTTTATCGGTGCACCAAAATTTTTTCTCTGTTATTTACCGACAAAATGTCTCAAAATTTGGACATGTTATACGAAATTATATTGCCTTTAAACTGATGGTTTTACTTTTTTTATTTTTTTGAATTTTCTGTTGAAAAATTGGATTATACTGTTTAACGTTCTATTATAACCAAACTTTTCACGCCCATCAGTTGAAAGAGTTTTTTTTTCTGTAATCGTTGATTCTTTTTTCACCTTTCTGTGTCCAGTAATAATCGAGAAAAGCGTAATCAAACTTTGAAGAAAATTGTTAAAAAATACTGAAATCTAATAGTGAAACGTGTTCCTCATCATTGTCGCTGAGGTTGATCCTTATCGCATTAGTGACGTCAAATCACATGAGCGTACGGTACGGTCTTATTTTTATTTCTCTATGGGTACGGTCAGTTAGTTCGCTTGAATTAGAATCCATTTTAGTTCTTTCATTCTTGTATTTTCTTTATCAACTTGCTTAGTTTTTACAGTTTACAGTATTCTTATTTATTTTGAAAACATTGAAATTATTTAGTTTACGTGTATGTTAAGTAATATATTATTAGTTTAGTGGTATAAGTTAAAAGTTCTTTAGTTTACGCGTATTTTTAAGTATTACATTAGGTTAGTGATATAAGTTATAAGAGACAAGATAAAAAATGAGTCCCAGTAAACGTCCTATGTCAAGGAAAAGGAGAGCAATTGCACTGCTTTAGTATTTATTATTTATATTACAACCGTTTTTAAAAGCTTTTATTTAACTTCATGCAACTTTTCTAATATGGAGATTATCAAAGAAAAAATGGACGGATTGATAAGTACATTGACTTTTAAATGTCAAATGTGGAATATTGAAAAGGAGATAGCAACATAGGATTCTGGTAACAATTCACTGAACTTGAATGGTTCTGGTTATGCAGACATACAGCAGCAGCACGCTGCATTAAATATACCTGTGATTTCCTACAGGCAGTATGCAAAACATACGGAAACTGTTGCAGATATCATCGGCCAAACACTTTGTGATTCCTTAGAAGAGGCTGGACGGGAGGAATTAGCTTTAGCCAAAGAAATTGGTGAAGTACATTCCGACGGAAATGAGTTAATAACCGTTACAGCTGATGGTGCTTGGTCAAAAAGATCGTATAAAGTAAACTACGATGCTTCTTCAGGTGTAGTACCTGACGTTGTAAAATTTATTAAATTAGTACGCCTTTGATGGATAGGACATGTAATTAGGCGAGATGAAGATGAAACGATCAGAAAAATTTTCGACCGAAGAGGACCAGTGGGAAGACGATCCAGAGGAAGACCAAAACTTAGGTATCAAGATAACATAGAGGATGATCTAAAATCCATCAGAGTTAAAGCATGGAGAAAGTTGCCCAAGGCAGGGGCGAATGGAAGATTGTTCTGAAGAAGCCTTTGGCTCATGACGAGCTGAAATGCCACTGATATGATGAAATAACTATCCACGATTTGTGTTTTATTCATCAATTGGATACTTTTCTTATGTAACTGCAACCCATAAATATATTAAAATAATGTATATTCCATTCAGAGAACTTTTTCCTCGCAGTGCGTCGCCTCGAAATACTTGCCAGATAAATACATTTACTTATATGATGGTTTCGCGGGTACCAATTTTTTATAGATAAATAAAAATATTTTTTGTTTAATTTTTATTACCCTAATATCAGTTTTCTCTAACAAATATTAACAAAATATTAATTATATATTAATATTAATATAACAAAATTTAAATTTATTATAAATAAACACCATGGTGTTTTTTGCAGTCACGTTTCACAAATTTTTATTTAATACTATGTTTAGCTAAGACATATAAATTAAAAATGTGATTATTTCTTTTTAAAACATTATCTACGATAATTAATCTAAAAAAAAGTATTCCGACAAAACTAATTTGAATGGAGAATAATGCATTTATTTTAAACAACCCGTGGGCCGGCGCCACTGAATAAACATCCAAACTATTAGAACGCTATTAGGAAGTCACGTAGGGTCTGACATAGCAGTGTAGAGAAGTAAGTGATACGCCCACTTCAAATCGCAGTATGCTATAACTGCGAAAACAGCCTTAAAATTGTAAACAGCTGTTATGTCCAGGCAACATATAGTCCCATTTTACAGGGGTCCATATTACTTAAAACGACACGTGTGGCAGGTGCTAATCCTTCGAAGCTGTGCGGACTGTGGACATAGCCAGCTGGATTATTATCTGACGCAAATGCTCACAGGCCATGCTACCTTTTCAGGTTTAGGAGGGCCCAGTCCGATCAGTGCCTTGACTGTGGTCTCTCGGTTACTGTGACAAACACGATGTTGGAGAGTGAGTGTTGGGCGGAAGAAAGAGAGAAGTTTGAAAGAGAGTGTAGTGCATAATGTTTGAAATATTTGATTCTATGAGAGAAATGGTGAAGAAAATTATGAGCGATGAGTAGTGGTGGACACGGAGCCACAAATTTATCAGGGAGCTGCTCTCTTCAAAAGAACGAGAGGAGAAGGAACTCCCAACAGAATTATAAACAAGCGAGCAGCATCTAGGTGGGGTTCGGACTGTCGAAGGCGATGTCGATGAGATTTTGAATTTGATGGAAAAAAGACGCAATTTTAAGAACCAAAACGTCGAAATGTATAAATTAATTAATAAAGAGATAAGGACTAAAATAAGAGCTGCAAAACATACTTCGAAAATAAATGTTTAGAAATTGAAGAGTTACAGGAAAAACATGATTATTTTAATATGTATAAAAAAATAAAAGAACTGACAGGTCAAAACAGAAAACAGGCAAATAACATCGTTGATAGAGACGGAAAACTGATTATCACTAATTTGCATAAAATAGACAGATGGAAGGAGTATATTGAGGAACTGTTTAGTGATGAAAGGCCCGAGCTTGAAATTAACGAAGTAGTTACAGGACCTGACATAACTATGGACGAAATTGAACAAGCAATACGATTAGCAAAGACCCGAAAATCGACGGGTCCAGATGAAATACCGAGTGAAATAATAAAGCTCTTCGAAAATTCCGGCAAAATATCTCTCCTTCATTTGTTTAATAAAATTTATGAAACTGGCTATATACCAACGGATTAGCGGTTGTCGACTTTTGTGACTTTTGCAAGAAATTACGATGAACTTCAACATCTAATTAATAGGATTACCACAATGTGTGATAAATATAGCCTTAAGCTAAACACCGCAAAGACAAAGGTGATGGTCGTCAGTAAAACGACAATACAACCGAAAGTTGTAACAGCTTATGGAGAACAACTAGAGAGAACTAACAGTATCACTTACCTTGGTTGTAATCTAAATGAGAACTGGGACATGAGCAAAGAAATTAGAATACGAATAGAGAAGGCTGCATTCTTTAAGATGAAGAAACTGTTATGTGGAAACAATATTACTTTAAGTTTGAAAATTAGATTCGTGAGATGTTATGTGTTCTCTATTCTTTTGTATGGTGTTGAAGGTTGGACTTTGACGGATATACTTCTTAAGGAACTGGAAGCCTTTGAAATCTTGGTGTATCGGAGAATCCTACGAATAAGTTGGGTGGATAGAGTTCGTAACGAAGTTATTTTGCATCGGATGGGAAAAGTTACGAAAGTCGTCAAAACAGTTAAAAATAGCAAACTTGAATATTTTGGTCATGTTATGCGCCATTCAGAGAGATATAATATACTCCATTTAATAATACAAGGCAAGGTAGACGGAAGAAGAGGGTCAGGTCGAAGAAGAACGTCATGGCTTAGAAACCTGGGAGATTGGTTTAACAGATCTTCTGCATCTCTTTTCCGAGCTGTCGTCAACAAAATTACTATAGCCTATTTGATAGCCACCGCTCGATAATCGAGCTCGGCACATAAAGAAGAAAAAGAATGTAATTTTTTGTTCAGAACTTTTAAAAAATTTTTCGATCAGAGGGATGAAGAAATTTTAAACTGTGTTTAATTCCCAATAATACATAAAATTCCAGAAGAAAATATCAAAAGGTCTTCTAAATAAATATAATAATGAATCGAAGTACGCCTCTGATATCACAGAGTAAGAAAATCTAAAATAAAATCAAAAATATGTGGGAAATTAAAAAATTACAATAAACCTGTCGGCGAAATGTCCAACGTACAAAATTTAATGATGTACTTATCTTAGCGGAATTTGTGAGTCAATCATGTGATCAACAAAGTTTCAATATAATTTAAAAATAGTTTGGAATTTTGATATTTACGAACAAATAAATTTTACACACCTGAAGAAAATCGTGTTTGCGAATATAAATCGCGACGGAGTGAATCATGAAAATATAATCATTTTTACTCGAAGATTACACTTACTAACGCTTAATGTTTCAGTATGTCTAAAAATAACTGTATGCTATTACTGGATTGTACATTATTTGATTTCTGACTACGACTATGACTTGGAGTAGAAACACAGAAAATCTACGGGAAAATATTACACAAGGTACATAAATAAAAAGTTGGAGGAAATTTTAATGAAAAAGATATCGTTAATCTATGAATTTCCCTAGGTCGAAACGTCGACATTATTTTTTCAAATTCTAGAAGTAAAAAAAGGCGAATATTTTTAATTTTCGAAAAATTTTTGTTAAAATTGGACTAATTTGATGTAAAATTAATTATAACAACAAAATGACAATATCTCGACGTTAACAACTAGTAATTTATCTATAAAAGCTATCCTTTGTTGCATTTTTCTCGTTAAAATAGTTGCTTCTTGCAATAGAGTATTATTTGTTGACAGTAATTTTACCATCTTCCTTTTTCCTTGAAAGAAAAAGGCTGATGTGTCACAGCAGAAAACTGCATGCAAAAAGCCCACTACATTTTTTGAGGAAGCCTTCATGGATTGACTTAACTATCATGCAGCAAAAGAGTTCTGTACACTCATAAATTTCTTCAGATTTTTTTCCTTTGCTGGGTTTCCAAAAAAATATATTTTTGTTTTCAGGAACTTTTTGCACAAATATGGGTAGAATCTCAATATCCTATGCAATAATAAAAACTGGTTGTTATCTGTAGACAAAAGGATGGTTGTGTCAACTGTACACAAATTTTTGTGTAAATGCGACTGCTCCAGTATTGTCACGGTGACACAAAGCAGTGATTTTATTGGAGCAGTTTAATCTTAGCTGCTATCGGTGACAGTGAGTAAACGTTCTTGCATCGCAGATAAATACCGATCGCAACTTCGTCGGATTTTGATTACGGGAATCCCCTATTTAAAAAATTTAAGTTAGGGTATTCCTAGAATCAAAATTAAAAATAATACCTACTATTTCGTAGTTCTTATTCGCTCTTCACTCATAAAGCAGGGAGTACTTTACATGCCACTTTTTACTTGCTAGATAGAGTTTTGGAACTAGAAAGTTCGCACTACTATGGCCTTACTAAATGTAAACAATTTTCCCATTATATCAATTAAAGACTGGCAACTACTTCAACTATTAAGAGTGCTTAAAACCAATGGAAAAAGTGACTAAAATAATAAACGAAGAAAAATATGTGACTCTTCAGTGATAATTTTGACAAAAGGACTAGAATATATTTATATTGAAATGAAAAATGAAGATCTATTGCCTTTAATTCAAAATATGTTCAGGCAGGTTTTAAAAGGTATTTCAGATCGCCTGGGAGACTTGGAAAATTCGCAAAATTTGCTAGTGTCTAGTTTTATTGATCCTAGATTTAAAAAAGAAACAAAGCAATCGCCTTTCACTTCTACAGACAACAACACAGAAAATCGTTCTGCAGGTCAGCCTTTTGTATTGCGCCATTTTGATAAAAAAGCTGCTACATTTTCATCGAAGACTATGGTATCTGCCACATCTAGGGCCATAATTAAGGTCCAGCAATACTTAGACGAAGATCCCTTAGACAGAAATGAAGATCTACTACAATGGTGGAGTGATCACTCTTACAAATACCCACATCTTTCTAAAGTGGTGACACAGCACACACACACAGCAGTATGTTGTGCACTACACAAAAATTTGGTACGGTTGCAACATCTGCCTCTTGTGAGAGTATCTTCTCCAAATCAGGGCAGTTATTGATATCAGGAAGCCGATCACGCCTTAGTGTAAATAAAGTAGAACAATTATTGCATTTAAATGCCAATACCGAACTTTAAATGTATGTATATAATATTGAATATACCACACTATACTTATCATTACCAGTTTCTGGCAATATCTTTTGTACTGCTTTAATGTGTTTTATCTTTGTTTATTGTTAATTTCCTTTTTAGCGTTTAAAAAATAAATACATATATTGGTTTTATTTCATTTAATTCTTGTGTTTTCCTTATGATAATTTAATATGCCTAAGAAAATTAATAACTGGTTAAGGATTCTTAACGCTGCTATTTTTCCTCAACTACGTCGTTCCTTATGTGACAAATAGCAAATAATATCGACCATTATTATATGATAGCAACTGCTCCATTTTTAATAACGCTCTATCGAAAATGCTTCACTTTCTGTCACTGTTACTTTCGCAAATACGACTCATTGACCAGCGGAACGTTTTGGGTAGCGGACCAAAGTGGTTATTCGTGGTTTGTGGGTGCAGCGAATAACACGTGACTAAATGTCACTGTTACATTATTCCAGCTGAAGCAGACTGCGACTGTGACAGTGCTGTAACAGTGACAAAGTGGCAGTTCTTAAAATAGCAACCCACCACTAGTAGGAAGGTTACTTCAAAACAAAATAAATCTTGGCATATAGTTAATAATCTTAGAGCTAAAGTTCCCCAAACTACTGATCTAGTCTTAGACCCTAGTAAGCTGAATAAATATTACTGCTCGGTAGGTCCAGAACTTGATAGAAAAATTAATTCTTCCAATCCAATGCCATTTTTTAAATGGAATAAACATTACAGATTCCTTTTATTTTCTTCCTACTAACTCGGATCAAATAAAAAATATAAAAATATAAAGTTTTATCTTATCTTCCTGATAATGTTCAGAGAGTTTTAGCGGAGGGAATTAACACATCTCTTTTCTACATGTCACTTTAGGGCCCACAGTCCTATCTCTTTGTTACCATTGCTTTCAAAGGTTTTAGAAAAATTGGTAAAAATCTAAATGATGACTTTCTTACAAAAACACAATTTACTTTCTTCCTTCCAATTCGGTTCCCAGTCATTAAAAAGTACATATTATGCCATCTTCAAATTCATGGAAAAACTATACTTGAGACTTAAATAAAGATTATGTTGCTGCTGATGTTTTCTGTGATTGATCTAAAGCCTTTAACTGTGTCAATCACAAAATACCTCTTAATAAACTGGAAAGAGATGGTTTTAGAGGCACTGCTCTAAAGTGGTTCAGTTCATACTTGTAAGACAGATGCCAGTCTTTATCAATTAATGAGCGCTACTCTAGTAATATCTTTATTAGTTGTGGCATACTTCAAGGCTCTGTCTTGGGTCCTATCTGTTTCTTGATATATTTTAATAACATAATTAACCTTGATATTAATGGCCGTTTACTATATTTGCACATAACACCACCCTTGGATCGCTTTCCTACCATGTTTTGTTGGGTTATATGATTTTGAGATGATCCACCCATCTGTCTTACATGCTTAACCAGCTTTACCACAATACACTCTCCATAAGCTTGGTAGTGAGTGTTGTTTAGCTGTTTAACAATGTTAAGAGCTCTCTTAGAATATTAGCTCCTCTTTAACACCTCTTCATTCAGTGCCATTTTACCACACTAATTAGGGTATCAATGAACCAACTACATAATTGGTCCAGAGTGCTAATAGCCTGCCAGGACAAATAAATATTATTGTTATTGTTAAGGTGTAGCTGTGTTAAAATTTTTCTAAATGGATTCTGTTAATAAATAAACAATTTATATATATTTTGTAAATTGTAAAAACATTAATTAAAGAAAACTGTCATGTTTAAAAATCTACCTTGAAATTCATTATTAGCTAATTGGAATTTTAATTAAAGTGTTTATATTTACCTGTTCACATCGTCTGACAAAGTAGGTATGTTATGGATAGTTTTGGGTTTGACTTTTCTTACTTTGTGGTTGCTCAGTTTAGCTCTAGTTTTTAATGAAACTTTACTCCTATGAGTTTTAAGTGCAGCTGTTGGAGATGGTTCTGGTGCTGCAGGAGATCCTTTCATTTGAAGACATTTATCCTCTTTATATTTATTACTAATAAAATTTGTATCAGTATTTGATTTCAATTCATTTTGAATGCCATTGGTGTTTGATCTAGGTACTGTAGTTTTAATCACAGCTGTACTGGGATTGAAGAGTAAGTTATCACTACAAATATAGCTAGTGCTTTTTAATGAGAGTAATTTTTCTCGCAAATCCTGAATTTCTCTAGTGTATTTATCTGGGATTGATTCACATTGTTTATTAAAATAAGTGCTGGTATCAAAACACACTGGAATCTGATTACTTAGTGTATGCATCTTAAAGTTTGAGTATGAACAAAACTCATTACAATAGGGGCTTGCTGATGAACTCGTTTTAAATTTGATTGGACTAGGATATTTATCTAAAAGATCACTTCTACTGTATAAATGGCCTCTGGGAGATGTATTGTTATAACTATGACTGGTAATTGATTTATCCGGGCTTCTTACTTCAGATTTCTTCTGAAACGTAGGAATGTCAATCTAAAACAAAAAAATATATTTATAAAATTGAAGACACCTTAATTGGATAAAAAAACTATGTATATAATTCCACACAAATCTATATTCGAAGCTTCTTTTGAACAGATGTTATTTTTAATCAAACTTAACCTCACTCCAATACAAGATTTGATGGAGAGGTTCGGAACATACAAAAGAGTTTTAATTTATGAATATTCAATCAGCAAAATTGATTATTTAATTATTTTATTCAATCAACTGTTTAGTACTGACACTAACAATAATACCTTAATAGTCTTAATACCTATGTAATTGTAATTCTTATCTCTTATAGGGGCTATAGGGGTCTCTTATATTGACAGGATATTGCCAATGTTTTTGCAGAATACTTTGGCTCTGTATTTCAAAGATCAAATAGTCTCAATAGTACACCGAATCAGGGTGTACTTTTCAAAAATAAAAAATGAGAATGTTCTCCAAAGCATTAAAAGACTAAAACCAAAAAAGCCACAGGTAATGACAATATGCCAGCAAACATTTTCAAAGGTTGTGCAGAGACACTTTCTGTCCCTCTCACACTAATTTTTAATTTGTCTCTTAAGCAAAGTAAATTTCCAGATAGCTTAAAGCATGCCATTATAACACCTATATTTAAATGTGATAATGCTGGTAACGTTGAGAACTATAGACCTATATCTGTCATCAATTCAATTGCTAAGATATTGAGGGAATGTGCTTTATAACAATATTTAGAATTACTTTGGAGATAGGTTCTGTCCAGAACAACATTATTTTTTACTAGGGAAGCCCACTGTGTCAAATTTGTGTGTTTTTACAAGTTTTGCAGCAGGGGTAAATAATAAAACTCTACTGGATGTCATTTTTACCGACTGTACCAAGCATTTGATAAGATTGATCACTCTATACTTATTGAAAAGCTAAACAAAATTGATTTTGATTCAGAAGCATGTATATTTCTACAAGTTAAAGTGGGGAAACAGTTTATCTAAGCCATTTATGTCGACATCAGGCGTACCACAAGGTAGCAACTTAGGTCCTCTTCTGTTCGCTATATTTATTAACGCTTTGTCTCATTGTGTGAAGTTTTCAATAAGCCTGCTATTTTGAGATGATTTTAAGATTTTTCGAGAAATTTCAACTCTGCAGGACTCTGAGATCCTGTAATGTGATCTGAACTCAGTAAGTCAATGATTCGATGATAACAAAATGTTTCTAAACACTTATAAATGCCATGTTTTTACTATCACTCGAAAAACACAATACATGAAGAATGAATACAAAATTTCTAGTGATGTACTTGTGCAAAGATCTTGGAGTAATGTTTCAGCAAAATTTAGGATTTGGTAAACATTATTGGATCATCATTGGAAATGCATACAGAACTCTTGGCTACATAATTCATAATTCAAAATATGTTAAAAGATTTGAAACTCTAATATCATTATACAATGCACTGATAAGACCTCACTTAGAGTAAGCCTCTATTATATGTGCCCCATAAGCCGAATTCAATGTTGATTTGATTGAAAAGGTTCAAAAACGATTCTTGAGGTTTCTTTAAGTCAAAAAGTTTGGTAGCTATCCATATGATTTCCTATAACGCTATGTTAACTTGTTTTAAAATTCACCAACTGGTTAATAGAAGAAATTTTCATTTAGCCCTTATTATTTACTATGTTGCAAATTACGTTAAATATAAAGGTATATCCCTAGATCTTTACATTTGGTTTTACTAGATACTAAACAATTGTAAATTCTATAATTATTTTAAATGTAGTCGATTTTGAGAGTAAAAGATATAAATCCACACTTTTTAATATCTAACACCATATTGTTGTCTCATAACCATTCTATAACTGAGGTGAGGACCTCCTGTAGTAACTGATATTCATTTGGAGTATGTATAGTTTTAAAAAGCTTAAATTCATCTGCCTATATCAGTCTAGATGAAAATTTAAGAAATTTTGGTAGTGAGTTGACAAAAATTAAGAAAGCTTGTAGCTTGAAATTTACCTGAAAAACACCTACCAATTTTGACTCACTGAAACCTTGATTCCACATATGATTTTATAACTGTACAAGCATCAAACTTGGTTGTGAAAAGCCAAACTCATTCAATCTCAATAAAAGAAAGCCATGGTCAACCATATCAAATGCCTTTGAGCAGCCAGTTGTTATTAAGCCTAATTGGAGTTTATCATTTATTGCCTTCATCTTTGTTGATTAATTTCAACAATTCTCTATATCTGGACCTATGATTTTTTTTCTATTTTGTCATTTTCTGGTTTACCAGTATTATCCAAATCAAACATTTGCCAACTTTAAATATAACGAAATACATTCATAAAAAATATGAGTAAGGAAAAGGAGAAACCAAAATAAAGCAGTATTAAGATTTTCCCTTGCATTTGTACCTCAAAGCACTTATGGTACGAAATACATATAAAAACAAGATTATCAGTAGAATCACAATCTTTTAAAGGTTATAAATCATCCTTATATTTTTTGTATATAAAATTACAAAAATACATACAATCCATATGATTTATTGAAGTAATGCATAGTAAATTTTAAAGTTTATATACAAAACTGTTTAGTTTAAAATTAGTACTACTTTAACTTTCATCAACATACTTCAAAAGTTAACAAAATAAGAATTATAGTATATACAAACCTTACTGATCTTCACAGGCTCCAATCTTGACTTCCCTTTTCCTTGCATGCTACCTAAATTTTCTATTTGATCATCAATATCAGCGAATTTTCCACTGGTTTCATATGTACCTGCACTTTTACAACACTCAAAGCCAGTTGATTCATTAGACAATTTTGGAAGCCCTGCCAAATTGTTTGAAAGTTGACAATTATTTGATATATAGGAGGTAGGAAGTTCACAAAGATTTGATCTAATTCTTGAAAATTCATATCTCATATCTTTTTCTTGCCACTGGCCCTTTACTGTAATAGTAATAAGTACAAAGGTAATATAAATGATTAACAAAAAAATAGTTTTTTTATATAATTTGGCTTTAAAATAGTATTATGACTACAAGCAGATGTAAAATAAATACTGTGCTTAAAATTAAATGTAATATTATTTGTTAGATATGTGCATGGTTATAACGCATGTTAGCTCCAATGCAATGAAGAAACTAATGATCAAGATGATGAATACAGATCCAAGTTCAACATATCTACAAAATCACTAGTCCTTATATAGATTTTAATATGAATGAAGCATTTAGATAAATAAATGGCAAGCTTGGAAGAAATGTTGGGATTCAGGAATATCCTATAAGATAAAAAACTGTGGTTTTTAATCATATGCAAGCTTTTTAAATTGAAAACTAGAAGAAATGACCATTTATCAAATAAATATCCCATCAAATCTAGTGTTCTACTATTATAACACTACTTTCATATGTTCTATACATGATAAAGTCAATCTACATGTTCTACATGATATTAGAAACACCTGGGTATCTTTCCAACTGAAGACTTAGTACATAAAAAATAAAAAAAAAACAACTTATGCTGTTTTACAAGTTTAGCAAAGTTGTAAACACATTTAATAGATGTACAGAAAGAAAAATAAAAACATCTTAGCCAGTAAACCTACATAGTGGTTGAAGAGGATTCATGCCTTTTGAGGAGAACACATTTCCTCATACCTACAAGAGAAAAATTGCTCTAAACCCAACCATTAATATATAGAATTTGGAAATCTGGAACATAAATTTCAAAAAATGATCTAGCTAATTAAAGCAATTATATTTTTTACATTAATCGAAAGGAGGAACTATACTTCTTAAATAAACCTAAAAAGCATAAAACTCGTTAAACAAATTGTGATTAATCGAATTTATAAAAGAAAGAAAATGGAGATACATGCGTGATTATAAAAATAATCATAAAATGTACTTACATTCATATTCGAATTCCATATTTTCGTATTCTTGACTACGATTATATTTCTTTGGAGTTAAAGTCTTTAATTCTTTGCTTTTTCTTCTGCAAGGCTCATTCGTTTCGCTAATAGAACGTCTCCTTTGAGGTCCTCTTTCACACATTGAACACCAAGTCCTGTAAGAAAACTTTTCTTCCTTGCTGTAACGGTCGAAGTTACAATCCCCCATGCCGTTCTTAAGCCTATAAATTTATATAGGGCTATTTTTATACAATATCTCAATCAAAAATCACTAAAACTTAAAATCTAAGACACAGAAAAGAAAAATGAATGCTGTGCCTTGGTACCGTTTTAAATGGGAGTGACTATTTCACCCAAGAGCCGTATATTGCTGACATGTTAGTAGAGACTTCAAAACAAATTTATAATTATAGTTTCATATTTTTAAAAGCATTGGTACATTTTATTTTTTTATTTTAAGATGTAATGTTTGTCAAAGTTAACAATAAAATTACGAAACAAAAATCAGAGAAAATAACAGACTAATTATTTGAAGAGAACTACAGGTGTTTATAGGATAGAGGAGAAAACGGGCAAAACATTCGATGGAAAACAAAGAATAAAATATCCCAACACAGATATGGATAAAAAGGGTTTAAATGATATAAGCCTACTAATACATAAAATTTAAAATCGATTAAAAACTAATATAAACAAATATGGAAAACTATTAAATATCTGAAAAATAAATAACTCTAATGAAAACAAACAACAAACCATGGACAAAAAAAAAGAAATGGCATAATAAGTCCATCCAATAAGGGATGGAAATGAGCAATAATTAAAGCACTAGAGAAAAATCAACTGGGATTGAAATAAAAAAGGCATTGTATGCCATTAAATTGGTGTGATAAAGTAAGTGCTCACCTTAATACCTTGAATATGTATAAATATACTATTTTTACTGGGTTTAAAAAACATATTTCTGAAATAAACTGGTGACAAAGAATAATTTAAAAGACTTACCGAGTTCAATTAATTCAAATAAAAATAATTTATTGTAAAAAGGCACATCAATAAAGATCCTATTGGTCTGACAACCTGTTATAAATGTGTAATATTACAAATATTTTTACACGAATGACTTAATAGTAAAAAAGGAAAGCAAAATTTCATTATTTAATATATTCATTCGCTTTGATATGTTTGAAGAGTAAAACATTATTTTTATTGGAATGTACATTTTTAGTTTACTATTTCTGTCATAATTAAATAATTGCTACAGGTTTTATTAAGTTTATTTTCAACTAGCGTTAAATAAAATAGATTTAATGAACGTTTTTTGAAATTCACAAAGTTAATTCAAGCCAGAAATTTCCTACCGATCGTCCGCGTAGACACTTCCGATTCAAAATGGTGAACTTTGCAGAAATTTTAATTTGTGAGTTCTATATTTCAAGAAAATTATTTCTAGAAAAATAAATACCTGTTAGAAAATATTCTGTTTACAATTAAATGTTGAAGACGTCATATTTACTAATAATGTATTTTTTTCGTGGAATGAAGTCGTTGCATATATTTTAAAATATAATATTAAAATCAAAAACACCACGTAAAAAAAGCGAAGTAATGTTTTACCGCGCGTTGAACGAGCATGGTGTGTTGTAAGTTGTAAGGACCATGCCCATGCGTGACATATACGTACATTCGTTTGCGTACATTACAAGATACAGATATATGTCTCTAGTTTAGAGACAGGTGTTTATGATAAATATTTTCGCATTTTGTAGTATTTTAGTACCCGTTTTAAATAATCAGATTAAAATATTGCTGTATTATTCGATATCAGCTAGTATCAGTAATTTGCTTTCTTTAAAAGATACCTGTCTGGATATTTTCTGCAAATAGAAGCGATATATTTCTTGGAATATAAGGTGGATAAAATTCCAAATTGAATTTCAAATCTAAGCCCTGGTTTAAGATTCTACAACACCCCTTTAAACCACTATGGACGTACCTATTATGATATACAAGACTTGGAGATAGTTATCGAATTTCTTCAAAATTTGCAAAAAAAGTGTGAGCTCACACTGTGAGGATCAGTTTTTAGACCTCTACCATACATTGTTTCAGACAATGACATTCAGCTGGAAATGGGATTTAAAATACACATCCGAGGCACTTATTCTTATTTTTTGTATACTGTGAAATATGCAGTAGATGATCCAATAATATCCTGGAAGGTGTCAACAATTTTTTTAATGCAACTTTATCTTCTAGTGTGTTATTAGTTTTAAATAAAATAACTCGAAGATTAAATAGATTCATAACTTTCGGTGAAAGTCGTTCTTCCAAATCAGTTAAGATATTGTCTAAAAGGGGTAAAAAATAGATCTTCGGAAATATTCTTCGCAAGAGTTTGCAGTTTGGTTTTGACGACAGGTTTGTTTGTTCAGCTATTTCTTTTACTTCATAGTAAAGTTTGCCAAAAACAGATTCAGAATTTGATCTTTTATTTTGAAGAATGCATTTAGTGTCCTCTATGGCCTCCGTAGCCTTCTTCAAATCTAATTTTGGCGACTAAAGAAGACGACTAAATGATACAGTGGTACCTAAAACATTACTAACGACAAACTACTGAAATGAGAAATTCTGGGCTCCTAAGTTTGCATTAACGAAAATGCATCAGCTGACATTTTACTGTCCTTCCACGTAGAAATTGTTTCAAGAGCATTGTATATTTTGATGATTGATTCGCCCTGGAACTGAAGATGACCTTTATGCCTTTCAACCAAAAAGTGCCTTGGACAGCAGCCCCCAGTTCCTTTATTTGTATTACTAACGTATCAACAGAGCTAATGCAACAACAATTTCACTTTGATATTTATTATAGATAAATTATAAAATGTAGCACACAGTCTCAACAATTATAATCCATATTCAAATTACAAACAACCAATTCCTAGACAAAACTGAAGATAAGAAATACCTCACACTAAATAAAAATGTACTGATTTCGTGCGAAAAGTCATGTCATGTACATTGAATGAGCGATACCCCGTGACCCCCTTGTATCCGCCACTGATCGGAATTGCGAACAGAAATGGAATGTTCATAAATCCTTTTTTGGATTCTACGATTTGTTTGGCCTATATAAGATCGGGCAGTCTGCACAAGGAATATCATAAACTCTGTGTTGTTCATTTGGAATGTTGTCTTTGATTGATTGGACAAGATATGAAAGTTTTTGTTGGGGGTAAATATTCTCTTAATTCCGCTTCATTTAAGAATTTTGTCGATTTTGTCAGACCTTTGTCAGTGTGAGACCTTGGATGTAAGGAAGAAAGGCTTTCGTATGATGAGGATCTGAGTCTTTGGGTTAAGATTGAGTTGAGGATTGATGTCTGTGGATGCTCCTATTGATGTGATTTTCGCGGTAACCGTTTTGGATGAGGGCTTGTTTTAAACTAGAGAGCTCAGCGAGTCTACTTGCATCATCACAAAGGCGTATTGATTTGGGACAAGGGTATTAATGACTGATTTAATTTGTGAAGGTGAATAATGAGAGTTAGCATACATGTAACGATTGGTATGGGTGGGTTTTCGATAAACAGAGTGATGAAAACCTTGTAATTGTTTTCTTTATGATAACATCATGTATAAAGGCATATGGTATTATTGGTTGCATAGTTGGCAGGTTCCAAAATTTCAAATGTAGGTATTTATGGCATTTCTATAAGTTTCGTGATTTCGATCGTCCGATATAATTATTAATTTTATCGAACTAAATCGTAAGTACACGGTCATAAGAAAACTAATTTTTATTACATTTTATTGTGGCTTTCCATGTATAAAAATATAATATATTGTTAAAACAACACAAGCACAGAATCTGTGACACAAGAAACTAGTTGTTTCTTTATATGGTACATTTTTGTGTTCTGTGATAAAATTTCGGACACAGTTATTTGTCACCTTCAGTTGTCACTGTCACTGTCGCTTGCCAATTGTCAACCTGGAAAACCAGACTTGTCGCAAGTCGCAGAGTTCTTATAATTTTAATAAACTAATTAATTATAACTACTTCGAGAATGCAATAATTATTATTCTTTAAATAGACCTACCGCTTATTAATCAGCAGTAGTAGAAGCAGACTTATACTAACTAGCATAAAGAGAAACATATAAACATGGCAGACTTCATAGATTCTGAAGCAGAAGAAAGTAGTGAGGTAATATGCAATTCGTGTATTAATTATGCGTTTCTCACTGTAAAAAATAGTAGATTAAATCTGCACGTATAGCATAATTTTAGGCCTTTACATTATTTTTCTTCCTTACTCCATATCCTATTCTTCCTTGTTAATGTTTACTATATTTAGATCTATTCCACAATATTGTTCCTTCTAATTGTAGATTCTATTATAATCATCCCATCATTGCAGTATGTGTGCTTGCATACTGCAAAATATTCATCAATAGTTTCTACCTTTCAAATCTAAGGTATTCATCAATACCTTTTTAATTCCACTTGATTCCTAATTTATTATCAAAAGCATAGAAAACCACACACTTTAATATTTCTCTTACTGGCGCATCTCTACAGTTTTACTTACAAATCTATTGCAATATTCAAACATTTAAATGTAATAAATAGTAATTTAAATGTAATCTTTTAAATAATATATTTTTATAAATTTCTAGGAGGAAGAATTAGATCACAGGGATCGTAAAAAAGCCCAGAAAGCCAAAGTTGTAGATAGTTCAGATGAAGATGATGAAGGTAAGGATCATATTAAACCACTAATATACTTGATTTTATAATACTTTATTTTTTAGATGATGACGAAAGACTGAGAGAGGAATTAAAGGATTTGATTGATGATAATCCTATTGAAGAAAGTGATGCTGAGTCTGATGCTTCAGGTACAAAAATACAAATTATAATTAATAATTAAGCAAGGAAACTGAAGGGATTGAAAGTTGATAAAAAAATAGGTCAAGATAGTCTTTTGTGCTCTCTCGCTGGTGCTTTTCGATACTTACTGAGCTTCATCAGTGGCTTTTCTGAATTTCTTTTAATAGTTTATCTTCTACTTCAAAAGTATCTTTTAACAGGATCCAGGATTCTCTAATGTCTGTAGTTTTTGCATGATTCTCACCTTACATTTACTATCGAGCAGAAAGATCCACCACAACAAGGCACTTTCAAAGGAGTCTAAGGTCTCAGTAAGAAGGTAATTTTTGGGAAAAATTTCTATACAATTATGATTTGAGGTTATTTGAACTTTTTGTCTGTTTCCTTGAGTTTCAAATTATTGAGAGTCAACTATAAATGTACATAAATGCTATATGTGAGTTCCTTATGCTGATTTACTAACAGTTTACAATTTTTTTTGTATTTATTGCATCATTTTCCTATTACAGGAAGGGAAAAACGTAAGAAATCTGATGACGAGGATTTAGATGATCGACTGGAAGATGAAGATTATGATTTGCTTGAAGAAAATTTGGGTGTTAAAGTTGAAAGAAGGGTACGTAATTGTAAAAGAATAGATAGTTTAATCTAAAAATATGTTTATGTACACAGAAATTCAAGCGACTGCGGCGGTTTGAAGATGAGGAGAGTGAAGGAGAAGAAGAACATGATCCCGAACAAGACAGGGAACAAATTGCTATGGATATATTTTCAGATGATGTAAGTACAATTCTTGTCTCGGTTAAACTGCAATATATGTTAAATATTTGGATATTTTTAACTTAGTTCTCTTAGTTCTTTTTTTAATATCAGAATTTTTGGTTACATATTAATGGTTACATGCAATGTACAATATATACATATGCTTATGAGAAAATGCACTGTTTGGCCAGAAAATTGGAAAAAACTCTAAATTTTTCACAGATTTAACTCACAATTTGACACAGCTTTAATAATAAATCGTAAATAGGTAGAAAAACAGATGTTCAACTTAGTCTATATAGACTTAGTCAATATAATTTAGAAACAGCAATATATTTTACAGAAGATAGTAGTGTCTCCCACACAAATTTGTGCACTACTATCAAAAAATTGCAAAGGTGTCTGAACATAACAATCGCAACTATGTTTAGTATTTTGTACTAGTACTTCTTTACAACGGAAAAATATAATATCACAATGATACTTTTATTTTTGGTATTTTTGGAAGATGTAACACAAAATATTCACAAACGATTGTTAAAAGTGTTGAATAAGGATTCTTTCTTTTAATTATAACAGTAGATACAGCAGGTCTGCTGGATCTTTGCACATTGTCATTATTCATATTACAAGAAATAAAACAAAACTTGTGAGTCAAACTTATGTCAGTTATAAGAATTAGAAAGTGGCTAATATTACAATGGATGTTTTTACACTTATCTGTGATTTCATTTATTACTTTCTGAAAACTGTATATATTTGTAAATGAGATTTGATACCAGATATGAAACACAAATCATTGTATGAAATCGGCTTCCACGGCCAGAGTCAGAATTATAGTTTATTCGTCTTCCGGGTTTGGACCGTGTCATTTGTGAGTGACCCAAAAGTGGGTTCATCTCAACCCACTTTTGGGTCACTCACAAATGACACGGTCCAAACCCGGAAGACGAATAAACTATAATACAAATCATTGTACTTAGGAATTCAATGGTTTACCAGGCATGGTCTAAAAATAAAAACACTTTATATTTCATATCACTCCATTGACATGGTTTTAGCATTACATTTGACATTAGCTAATAAATAAATTTTTACAGGCAGCTAATTTTATAGGAAATTATAGAGTAGGAAAGAGATGTAATATAAAAATAATTCTTGAATAATGTCATATTTGTGCAAAGATCGATTGGACTAACTGTATGTATGTATATAAGGCATATTTTAATCTTTATTGTTAGTACTTTTTAACATGATATTTATTGATATAAATAAAATATGTCTTTTCATACAAAAAAATGTTTTGATGTTAATATTAGTTAAGTAATATATTACTTTGTGCAAACAAAGGATAGAGATGACCAACAAAAAAAGGTAATTTTGATATTATTGATATATGCATTGTGCAAGGAGCTAATATAGCATGATTCGTGATTAAATAATGTGTTGTTCTTTACACACTTGGTATTTTACAAAAGTCTATAACAAAAATGTTAGATTATATATTATGGCATATAACTTATACAAGCTTGAGTAACTTATCGGTATATGAAGTTCCTATTCTCTACGTGATGATGTTTACAACCCTTCAAAATAAATTCTATTATTTATTTTACTATGTATGTGTCCAAATCGCCATACGTTAAAATAAAATAAATAATTTCTTCATGCCTTAACTTTCTTACCTAACAAAATTAATACAGAACAATTAGTGGAAAGTGTGAGGAATTTTACAGTACAATATCGACATTTTGAAGTATCGACAAAGTTAGGCTTTTTTGTTTAAAAAGTTCTTCATAAATGGTGTGGAAAATTCTTTTTATTATATGTTTGTTTAACATATATAACCACATCAGTTTTCTTTTCTTTAAGTGTTTTTTTTTTCATTTCCATCTTCTAATAATAGTGATGTCAGCCAATTCACAATTGGAAAACCCTTTTACGAGACTCAATTTTTCAATCTTAACACACTCTATTGATGAACATATTATCAGAAGCAAGTCATAGGCTGGGCTTGGACATTAACTTTTCCAAAACCAAATTCTGGTATTGCAACAAATCCCATGAACAAGTACACCTAACATTACAAATAAATGGTATCGCCCTTCAGAGTTCCAAAGCTTCATATATCTGGGCAGAGAGCTAAATAGTCAACTAGACCACTCATAAGAAATTAGAAGGACTCATTGAAAGCGAAGATCTGGTTTCATGACTATGTATAATGCTCTGTAACCCAAGTATACAGTCTCAATAAGATTGAACACTAAAGTGTTATGTGTGGTCTCTATTACTATATGGCTGTGAGACCTGGATATTAAAACAGTATGACGTCAACAAATTAAATTCATTTTAAATGTTGATGTACCGCCGAATGTTAAGAATAATTTAACTCCAGGTAATATTAGAAGGCAAGATTGAAGGTAAACGAGGCATAGGGCGAAAGAAACAATATTGGCTACAAAACATCAGAGATTGGACCCACACAAGAGGAAATGAATTAATTCATCAAGCCCAGAACAGAGAGAAATTTGCCATATTGATCGCCAACCTCAACTTGGAAGGCACTTAGGAGGAGGACGAACACCCTGTACTTTATTGATTTCTAAGCTAACTGACGTAGCATATCTGATCGTTTATGTGTCGCAGTTTTGAATATTCTTCTTGTCATGCCGCTTCTGTTGTAGATTGGAAGTGATCAAGACTATCTTGATCTTATTGATGGCTGATCCAAAGAGCTTGTTTTTGATACAGCAAAATCACTCCCTCAAGTGATCAAAATGTATAATTTGCATGATATTTGACTTGATTGTCGTGTATTTACTGTAATTGCTGTAAATGCCTATTAGTTAAAAAGTATTCTATTGCATATTTTACATATTTACATATTGTATCTAGGACGATGAAAGACGATCGGAACGGAGTCACAGACCTGCCGTCGAACAAGACAATTATGGTGTAGGCGAAGAAGAAGAGGAAGGCGAGTACTCGGATGCCGATGACTTTATAGTTGACGATGACGGCAGACCCATAGCCGAAAAGAAGAAGAAAAAGAAACCGATATTTACTGATGCTGCTCTCCAAGAGGCTCAAGAAACCTTCGGTGTCGATTTTGATTATGATGAATTTAGTAAATACGATGAAGATGATTATGAAGATGAAGAGGAGGAGGATGACGAATACGAGGAAGATGATGTGGAGAAAAGGTAAGCTTTCGTTTGTATTAACTGTCATTAACATGCGAAAGGTAGGAAGTTTGAATTAAATTTGAAAATTATGGATAATTTATGGTTGTAGCGTAACAATGGTCCTATAGTTTTTTTTTGTTTATCTCTCTAGTAAGAATTTTGAATAAAGCTAAACTGTTATTAACACATCAACAATGACTAAGGAACACGATAATTGTTCTTCTTGAAGATAAGCAGCAAATAGAGCAGTTTTTCATAGCAAGGCTTGTGTTAGGTCACATTCCAAAAATTTAGAGGGATGCAAAGGTGGTATTTATACCAAAGTTGTATCGCTGCATATGCCCAAATCCTTTCGCCTAAAAACAATGAAGAAACTAATAGACTACATAAGAAGAGAGATTCTAACGAGGAACCTGCTTCCCAAACATCAATGTGCCTTCATGGATTCGATGAGTTGTTTTTTTCATAAGCTAGCGACCTACCAGATTCTCTTTGGCCAGTCGTCGTCATAATGTTCTTCTGGAAACATTAATTCCTTCCTTATTAATCATCGTAGTCAGATGTGCAACACTCTTTTTACGATTTTCTAGACAAGACAAATATCCCTGATTTTACAGTCAGTACGAGTAGTAGTGATCCTTTTCCTGTCACATTTTTCCGCACAGCCCGGTTCCGATGCCTCGTTTGAATCCATTTTTATGCTTATTCGATTAACTACATACTTTGAAACACCTGTTGTAACTATCTATACTGCTGTATATGCTATAACTATCGGGGAAAGTGTAGAGTGCAGTAATAGCCTCTAGTTCTAATTTTCCCTGTAGACAAGTCTGCATTTTGTCCATACTAAAAAAATAATTTTGATTTTGAATAATTTTTTAAATAAAATCATGTCAATAAATGTAGCAAAAATGACTAAATAATAAATAGTACTTACCTAAGCAACACAACATAAGCAGTCTGCCAATGTTATCGCTTATCAAAAATTTCAATAGTCATACCAGAAGAAATATCAAATAAAATACAGATATGAACACCACATTTTTGGTCAATAAACAATTTAAAGTAGAAAATACAAAATATGTGTAGTAAGAAAGTTGCCTAAAGGCATGCGCAGTATGTCATCAACTGATTATTTCCTGCAACTTCTTGTAATTGCGCGATAATCGGTTTGGTGCCATTTTCTCTGCAAGTTTTCATGGAAGTCTTGAGGAATTTGTGGGAAGTTTGATTTTTACAAATGTCAAATGTCATAATCACTTATTGACATGGATTTATAATAATATAATAGTCTTGGCATTTCGAAATTTACTAAATAATGTTAAATAAACAGCAAGAAGATGAGTAGCAATCTTAAAAATCGCACATAAAGACCTTGGAATAAACTTGCATGAAAGTTAGTCATGCAAGAAATTGCAGCAAGTTTTCTTGCGAGCTGTAAGGCGGTCTTAATAAGTTGGCCACCCACTGTATGTTATTATTTATATGCATTATAACGGTATGTCATATTTTAAAATTCAATTAAAATTTATCTATAAGTATTCTAAGAAAAAACATTGCATTCCTTGAGACATTTTTGATGTGTATGTTTCGTTGGAAATTAAATTGATTAATTTTCGTAATTTAGGAAACGGCCTAAAAAGACTTCAAAGAAAAAGCCGACGAAGAAATCCATTTTTGAAGTGTATGAACCAAGTGAACTTAAAAGAGGTTTCTTTACCGATCTCGATAATGAAATCCGTAACACTGATATTCCCGAAAGAATGCAACTTCGTGATGTTCCGATCACCGCCGTTCCTGACGACTCAACTGAACTTGATGATGAAGCAGAATGGATTTACAGGTAAGATTACATTTAGTAAAATATTCGATACCTATATTGATATATTGCAAGTGGTGAGCGCTATGATAATTCGGGAAAATAAGATTTTTCTCTGGACTGTGACAAATCCAGGCATCTGAATTGTTTTTTGTTATTATAGGCCTGTATAAAGAAAATCTGTACTTTTCGGTGTTTTTTTAATTACACTCAGATGCAAAAAAACGCAACGGAGAACATTTTGGTCAAATTCAAAGTATTTAAATTTTTTTAGTTTTAGACCTATTTGATGATTTTTTTAACACACTGTTTAAATTTTTAAATTTTAATGGTATAGTCAGTTTTTTGATAAAATATTATATTATAACTTATTGTACGGGGTTAATTAAAACATGGTTTTATTATTATCCTAACTTAAAACCATCCTGTGGACTAATTCCATTTGAGAATTTTCGTAAAACCTTATTTTTCGGTTGCAAGCATGTTTTCTAAGCATTGTATTTTTTGTTTTATGTCAAAATAATATAAAATATAATAATAATAATAATAATAATAAATATAATATGTATATTTTTTTGTTTTTTACTAAGCTTTTAGAGATTTAGTAATATCTAGATAAAGTAAATTTATTTTTTGTTAACAATTTGTTAAAGAGTTAATATCTTACATAAAAATTAGTTGAGGTTCCTAAGGTATCGCGCTTAGGCATTTCCGTTACTTTTCGTTGCTTGGGCACTCAAAGGTTAAGCTGTTAATAATAAGCAAGAAATAAAAAAGAAATGGCGTTTTTAAAACGCCAAAATCTCTGCAGAAAACGTATAGGTTTTCTTTATATAAGCCTTTAATAATTAAAGAAAATTGCAGATATAGTGATTCGTGACGTTCCCGAGAGAAATCTTATTTCCCCTAGTTATAAATATATCTACTACAATTGCAAACCTTCAAAAAATATTACTATGTAAAATATGTTTTGTTTTTAGGCAAGCATTTTGCAACAGAACCGTTTCCAATGTGGATTCACATTTATCATCAGAGGCAAGAGAGAAATTGAAGAAGACTCCTCATACCATCGGAAAGATCAGAAAAGCGTTAGATTTTATCAGAAATCAACAATTAGAAGTACCATTTATTGCTTTTTATAGAAAGGAGTACGTTCAACCAGAACTTAATATTAACGATTTGTGGAAAGTATATAAATACGATGCAAAGGTGAGTCATAATAACATTTTTGTACATATTTGGGAATAAATCACAAAATTTATGAAATACCTGTAAATTCTTCTTTTGCTTTTTCCACTTCTGAGTCGGAATCCGTTTTTTTTTATCAGCCGGAATCAATTTATTTTATCAGCGAAAAAAAAAAACATATTTCTTGCTTAATTGTAGCTAATTTGAGTCTAGTGAACTCAGAAATAACATTTTTTTTTGCTAAATTTTGTTTTTTTTTCTCTTTACGTAAGTGTTCATTCCAATGGACAATGACTCTAAATAAATCAAAAACTCAAATAAAACTATTAACTTACAATTATATCTGGTGGAATTGGGTAAAACAGTTGGGCCCTTCGACACAACATACATAAATGAATTCATTTAGTGCAAAACACATGTTTTGTGAGTTTTTGAATTTTTCTGTTACAGCCAGTGTTTTCAAAGCATGTAGATTCTTTGTGATCATCGTATTCAGGATAGTGATCGATAATATCGCATGTGTATTTATCGTCCAATGGTCCGATATTTGAATGGAGTTCCCCCATCCAACTGTTATTAGTGGCGAGATGTCAGCTGTTGGCGCTCTAACATATGCCGTCAGCCATTGCTTTATTGTCATGTGGAAGCAGTGATAAAATCATCCGTTTTATGTGATTTCGTTAGGTTGGATAATTAACTGGTCCATTTTTGTCCACATTTACACACATTCCTGTATTATATAGTTTGTTTGAATAACTTCCTGGACGTTGAATTTGTGGATTTGAGTGGTTTATTTATTCTTACCAGGGACATAATATCTACCTGTCCGCATCGATCATTAATTTACTGCGTTTCTTTTCTTTCTTGTGAAATTGCTTTTTTTTGTTTTTCATGTAAGCAGTTTTTGAACATATCCACGAGAGGTTGTTGCACGCAAAACCAGTATCCAGCTCGAGTAGTTGCATAGCTGCAATAATTTGCTTGTATTATAGGTTCTTTCTAAAGAGCTTTACGATAATCAAAATACACTAATCAAAATGCACATTTGTAAATGACTGATTATTCAGTATTAGTTGCTATCATCTCTAGTAACCACCACAGTTGTGCCTAATATAACCATAGTGTGTATAAGAATTTTCTTTATCAATTTTCGCTTAGTAGAACCTTGTTATACGATATATATATATATAGATATCTATATATATATTTAGATATTTTAATTATTATATATAGAGATTATATATCCCGTTTATACCGGATTCACCGCCTCCGTTGGGATTTCCACCTTCGGCCGAAGCCGGTCGTCTACTTCTGCCAGTCTTCTTGTCAAATAGATTTCCTGTGCTGACATGGCTTTTGAAATTCCGTGCAGCTCTGTTGTTGGTGGTCGGCCTCGTTTTCTTGTCTCTGGTGGTACCCATTCTATATTTTTTTTTGGAGGCTTTCTTCCCCATACGTCTAACCATGTCCGTACCTTGTCAGTTTGTTGTGTTTTTCGATGTCTGCTATAATGGACTTTTAGATTATCTATTGTACATTTCTTTTGATTTCTTATGTCCTCATGTCTCACATGTTCCGATTCGAGATTGTCCCGCGGCTCCTCCTCCAAATATCCATTTCATCTGCCACAAAGAGGTTACCGGTAAGTTTTTGTGATAAACTGCCATTACTTCGAGCCATACACGATTTACCTGGTTTCAATATTGGTTATTTTCTATGACAAATCTATATGCAATTTCCACTAATGTCCCATGTTTAGTGGTCATTGTAATGCGTAATTTACAGAATGCTATGCTTAGGTTATAGATATGATCCACTTTTGCATCACTTTCGAAGGGTCCATTGGAAGTGCACAATGGAGCACTGGAAATTTTAAGCTGATACCTCCAATATTTCCGAGATACTCCTTACACCGGTAGTTGATTCAAAATTAAGTATTTGTTTAGGTTGATTATGTAGTATTTGTGAGGTTTTCCGTTTTAAAGGATTTATTGTATGTCAAAAAACTACAATCAGTAGTTTTATCTTTTATAAGTTACAAAATCTTTTATATGTACTTGAAAATAGGAATCTTTGTGCTACTTTTTCTTAAGTTTAAGTGTAAGTCAGTGGTATGCCCATCTGAAAACACGGCAAAGGAAAAAACCTCTTAAAGCTTTTTGAAAAAATGATGTCGTATCAAACTGACAACCGTAATGAAAGATCCAGATGCACCAATTCCAGACAACCTTCGTATTATGACTGAGTCCGACATTGAGCGATTGAAAAATGTGCAGACCGCCGAAGAGTTGAATGACGTTCACAATCATTTCATTTTGTATTACGCTGCAGATTTGCCAGCCATGCATGCCGCGTGGAGAATCAAAGAAAAAGAAAGGAGAAGACAGGAAAGAAAGGAGGCTAGGTAAAAATTTTTATTCATACAATATTTCACATTAAAATAGTTGAAAGTATAATAACTTCTATCATTTTTATATAATTCTACAGTAATTTTAGTACCTCACTTATCTTTTTCTCATTCAGTTGGATGTGGTCTAAGTAATTTCTTATTTTTTATAAGTTTCAAGTGTCGAATCATAGCATTTCTTAAGACTTCGGAATTTGCGACTATTTTCTTTGACACACTGCGAGAACGGATCACTTTTATTGTTTTTCCTCATCGCGAAACAACCACAGGTGGCGCTAAAACACTTATATTCATACCGATTCGAGCACGGGAAAGTTTAACGAATTTGTCATCCTAGGCCATATATTTGGCCATTTAATTCAACAAGCGATAGCAGCTTTTGCTAGAAGGTTTAATCTTTTACATTAGATAGATGATAGATGTTTAATTTTTCCTCAGAAATAATAAAGTTACCTGAATTTTAGACTTAAGCTAATCGCTGAAAGTGAAGAAGGAGCTGAAATTCCTGAAGAGCCTGAAGAAATCGATGATGACGAACCTGAAACTGAAACCTTAAAATACGCCAATAGATCAGGCAGCTATGCACTGTGCAGTAAAGGAGGTTTGGGTAAGTTCGTAATGATTTCTTCTTCTATATTTTAAACATTAGTTGAACCATCGTTGATTCATAACTTTTTTTATAATTTTATGTTATTTTTAGTACGTAAGTAAAACGTTCGGACAGGTCGATTCTTAAAAATAATCGTAGTATATTATAGCATCAATGTTTCGAACTTTACGAGATCCCTCTTCAGGTGACAGTCACAACTTTGAATTTTTTAGGTTTAGGAAAGTACATCATGTGACACCTCATTTAAAAGCTTTTGAAATACTGATTTCAAAAAGGTATCATACTTTGGTTCAAAAATTTACAGAATTTAAATAAGTCAAGAAAGAATTTTATACGTACCTTGTAACAATTTAATGAATTTTTGTTTGAGTTAATCTTTTTTAGATGGTAGAAGAGATTTTTTTTTAAATATTAGACGTAAAAAATATTCATTACAGTCTAAATCATTACATTATTAACTAAATTAATGATTCAAGATATGTAAGGAACTGCAAGTGACAGCTAATACTGAATAAACAAATTGCAGAGTAATTAGAAGCTAAAACTTATTTTAATATAAAATGTGTTCAAAACGTTTCCCATTTACTTCTTGGCAGTAATAGTATCTATTTCTTGTTTCTTCTGTAACTTTTTGCAACATTTTTTGAATAGTAGTACGGAATTCTGAGATAATCCTTTGGCATAGTTGGCCATTTGTATCTGGTTGTGTCTGATGAACTTTGAATTTGAAGTAACCCTGTAGAAAAAAATCTAATGGAGTTAAGTCAGGAGATCTTGGTGGCTACTCTATATGTCCCCGTCGGCCAATCCATCTTGCTGGAAAAACATTATCTAGATAATTTCGCACCCTGGCGGCATAGTGGGGCGTAGCTCCGTCGTGCTGAAATACGACGTTTTGAGAGAACTCTTGCGGATGGTTTGTAATTATATCATTGATTGCCAGCGTTATCTCGGCTTATTCTACATTTTCCAATTATGCATGATATCCATTCTCAGCATTCTGGAACTCAAAAAGTTTCTAAAAATTGTTTGCAGCCTGTGATCTAATACCTAACGGTCATGCACTGTATGGTTGACTGTTTTAGGCTTTCTGCTACGGAATTTGCTGTATTGGCTGTATTTCTTTTTTAATAAGAACCTTCTTTTTAGGCCCGCTAGCGAAGAAATTCGGTTTAACACCTGAACAATTCGCCGAAAACCTGAGAGATAATTATCAAAGGCACGAAGTAGATCAAGAACATATAGAACCTGTAGAAGTAGCTAAAGAATTCGTGTCGCCGTAAGTAGACTTTTTCAATATGATTATTATTTTTTCATTGTATTTATTTTATAGGAAATTTTCTACAGTGGAAGAAGTGTTACAAGCTGCTAAACACATGGTAGCTTTACAAATAGCAAGGGAACCGTTAGTAAGGAAATGTGTCAGAGAAATTTTCTTTGAACGTGCTAGATTAAGCGTTTATCCAACCAAAAAGGGTGTGAAAGTTATAGATGAAGCTCATAATTGCTATAGGTATAATAATTTTATATATAATTAATCTTTTTTTAGTTTTTCTTTTAAAATCTTATGTGACTTAAAGGCTGTGATCAAATGAAGAGCTTGGAGCTCAATGAATTCCCGTGTCTTATTTCGTGCCTATTTTTATAGGTTCTGTAAGTTGTCCAACTATACCGACTTCCATTGTGTTGTTCTGGTAGATGTTTTCGATAGTTTTTATAATATTTAGTGGAATTTCTCTATTATTTTGGTCTACAGCCATATTTGCATTCACTGATAGACCATACAGCTCATAGAAACAGAATTATGCCTCGGAACAGGAAAAATGATAGTTGATATTCTAAGGGTAATTTTGTACCCTCGGATTAATATCAAATTCTGATTTTTAATTCAGTCTGTTGCGTCATCATCCACAGATGACCATAGGCCTCCCTCAAAAGTTGCCATTTTTTTCTCTGATATGCTTGGATCCAGTTTATTCTCATTCTTTATCTTTATCCAGTTGCATGATAAATATTGATAAAGAAGGTCAAATAAAAGGAAAAGTCTCAGACAAACGTCGAAACAGACGCTGGTGTCTAGTTTTTTCCTTTTAATAGTTATAAATTATAATTACATTACAATATACCCATACAGTACAATAATTTACAGTATAATAGCAGACCTTAAAGGTTGTAACGAATATATTTTACCTCTCACATAGGGTATTACTATGGGGGGTTGAAATCTTGGGACAGAAACTATTGGGCTAGAGATAGGGCAAGCAAAACAAATGGAAACTTATGCGAACGGCACTCAGTTTTTATTTGGAGTAGCTGGGTACACACTAAGATTTCTGGGGTTATCTTCTTTGCCACACGATCAAAAAAATACATCTCACACTGCGATAGGACTGACCATTTGAGGTGGAATTGAAATGGACACTGAACACAAAATTTGGTACTCCGCCTCTTAAAAGGACTGGAAAAATGTGGACATATTTCAAATTTGTTGGGTACGCCGCTTTTCAAATACCTCACGATGAGAGACGGCTTGCAATTAAAAAAATAGTGATTACTCCTATCAGAGTTGACACATTACTTTGGGTGTACATCACTTATTCTTCGACAAATTTGCCGGTTTTTCGCAAAACTACATAACGACCTGTTCACTTTGATTCCCCATTTCAACCTGAACGCCTATTCAATGGATCTACCTAATACCGGCCGGGCTACCTTTCCCTTACTTCTCCTTCGTTCATACCACTGAACCAACCTAAAATTCTTGTTTTTAAACAGGCCTCAAATATTTCTCAAAGCGACCTTGAAACAAACTACTTTTAAATATGTAGAAATAACACGTATTATATTTATTATTTTAACTTCGTAACCGGATTTTTTCTTTGGGGATTTGAATGTAAATAAAGACAAACGGATTTATATCTAGCCCAGGAGTTATTAGAAAATTTTTATACTTGCATATCGATATTTTAAGTAATTTCAACATGCTACAAGGTGCGTTTACATTAATCGTTCTACCGCATTTGATTACCGACGAGTTTAATGTTAGTTGTGGCATTCGCTGATGTAAATGTGTCTTTAAATTTGATCTCTTTTATCATAATTTTGCATTTTTTTACTTTTTAGTATGAAATATTTAAAAAATAAACCAGTAAGAGATCTTGCAGGCGACCAATTTTTAAAATTATGTTTAGCCGAAGAGGAGAACCTACTTACTATTACCATCAATGACCATATTCAGGGAAACACTACTAATAATTACATCGATGAAGTCAAACAATTATATATAAAGGTGAAGTAGCCTTTAACTAAATGATGTTCTGTATTTGATTTTCGTTGTTAATTTAAGGATGAATTCAGCAAACACGTTCAGGACTGGAATGCGCTGAGAATGGAATCGGTAGAAAGAGCTTTAACGAAAAGTGTCTTGCCGGATTTAAGATCTGAATTAAAACGAACGTTGATCACAGAGGCTAAAGAATTCGTGTTGAAAGCTTGCTGTAGAAAATTATATAATTGGATAAAGGTAAGTTCTCTTTGGTTTAATTCACAGATAAATATAAATCAAACTTGATAATTATCTTGTATAGTATGTATTATAATTATCTTTTGAGCAATCAATATACTCTGCATTCTTCGTCATCTGTCATCTTTTATATATTTTTTTTCTTTTCAACTGTTACACTTAATTTATATACTAACGATATAACTGCTTCGGGTTTTAGATTGCTCCGTACGCAATAAAATTTCCCGATGAAGACGAAGATGACTGGGATACATCCAAAGGTGTCAGAAGTATGGGTGTGGCATACGTACCAGAGCATACAGTATCAGCTTTTACCTGTATTTCAGCACCAGACGGAGATATAACTGATTATCTCAGATTACCAAATATTCTAAAAAGAAAAAACAGCTTTCGAACTGATGAAAAACTTATGAAGGTATGTAAATTAAATTTGGAGAAGGAAACTTTCTTTTGCGATAAGTCTTCACAATATTTGTTTATTACTAGAAAAATTCTATATTATTAATTCTTTGTTACCGTTTTAGGAAGCTGATCTTCAATCACTGAAAAATTTCATATACCTCAAAAAGCCTCATGTGATAGCAGTAGGAGGTGAGTCCAGAGAAGCCTTAATGATCGCTGATGATATCAGAGGAGTAATAAATGAACTGATAGAATCCGACCAATTTCCACAGATTAGGGTTGAAATTATTGATAATGAATTAGCAAAAGTGTACGCAAATTCCATTAAGGGGACGACTGATTTCAGAGATTATCCGGAGTTATTGAGGCAAGCTATTTCATTAGCTCGAAGAATGCAAGATCCTTTGGTTGAATTTTCGCAATTATGTAACAGCGATGAGGAGATTTTGAGTCTTAGGTTTCATCCTTTACAGGTTAGTATTTTATTTTTAGGTAAATATTTAATGAACAAATACATAATATTATATTACAGTTGTATAAAATAAAGATTATGATATTTCCATACTTCGTCTTCATAAAAAAATGCATTATGTTTTCTTCGTCAACTTAAATTTTCTTCCAGGTGGGACAGTGATTGTAGACAATACACAGTTCATTATGATTTACTTCTTTTCAGTTTTTCTTTTATATGTTGCTCAGAGAGTACGGAATTACTTTCAATTCTACTATGATTTAGTGTCTGTTAAGACACTGTTTGATTGGATATATTATCTTTCCTGGTTACTGTCATTTCTGTCACAAATTCTAGGATAAAACCTTGAACATAGATAAATAGTATAATAGTAGACATAGATAGGCAACTCAATGTATAAATTTCGTTCATTAGGACCCCTTGCGGTTGGGGTCAATACTAATCATCTTTTGGCAGCAAATTCGAATGGACACCCCTTACATACATACCCTTTAGCGCCTCTTGCGGGCTATTTCGTTACTAATTAAAATTTACTGGAAAGTAAGGATATATAAAAAATGCACATTTTTTTCTAATATATGTATAATTTATTTGTCGTTTAAGATAAAACAGTTATAAACTGATTACATAATATTTATTACACATATTTTCAGAAACAAATCTTAAATACTATTATTGTTTGCTTCCTGACAACTTACTATCATCATCCTTTTTGTAATTTTTCCATGATTTGTACACAACGGAACAATACAATAATTCACCATGTTTAGTTTTTTTACTAGCACAACACAAAATTTTTTACTACAATAGGTAACTCAAACTAATCTTTAAAAACTAAGTAACCAACTTAAATTAAAATTAATAAGAATAAATGCAAACGAAAATTAAAGATAATAAAATAAAATTGAAAACTTGTAAACAAACGGAAGATCTGTCATTACTTTTGACAGAATTGACATTGTGCTTATGGTTTTTGTTTGTAGGAACAAGTCCAAAAAGAAGAACTACTAGAAGCTCTCTGTTTAGAATTTGTCAACAGAACAAATGAAGTAGGCGTAGATATAAACCTTGCCGTTCAGCAAATTCATAAAAGTAGTTTAGTTCAATTTATATGCGGTCTAGGACCGCGTAAAGGTCAAGCGTTACTTAAAGTTCTGAAACAAACTAATCAGAGGCTTGAAAACAGAACTCAATTGGTTACATTTTGTCATATGGGCCCGAAAGTTTTTATTAATTGTTCTGGATTCATAAAGATCGATACTAATAGTTTAGGAGACAGGTAAGATTAGTTTAATTTCTAAATAATGTTTAATATGGGTTTGTAATGCAGTGAACTCTCTTTTAAACGGGCAGAATCGCTGTCAAAGTGTGATCCGGACAACTATGCTTTATAAAAGACGCTTAATAATGCACTTATACAAATTAATTGAAACAAGTTATGGTGTAATTTAAGTTTACATTCATAGAAATCTTCAAATGTTTGATTTGGCTAAAAAGAAACAGACCTACGACTTAAATATTTTGTGTTGGTATCATGTGACGTCACGTACTATGACACGAATGACGTGCGTCGGTATTTATACGGTACCAACTGTATATGGATTCAATTATTCAAAGTTGGTTAGGCGACCCCTCTCATATTTATGTCTACCGATGTTGAGAATGTCCATTTTGTGTAGAGAAAGTATCCATTGAATAGAAATATTTATTTAGAGAGAGTTTACTGTAATCCCCGATTTAAAAATTTTCAAATAAATCGATAACTATTAAAATATTCTTTTATTTGTAGTACTGAGGCATATGTTGAAATATTGGATGGCTCTCGAGTTCATCCTGAAACGTACGAATGGGCACGGAAAATGGCTGTGGATGCTTTAGAATATGACGATGACGAGGGAGCTAATCCTGCGGGCGCTTTAGAGGAAATTCTCGAGGCGCCAGAGAGGTTAAAAGATCTTGACTTGGATGCCTTTGCGGAGGAATTGGAACGACAAGGATTTGGTATGTTTTATTTTAATTTTTGTTAAAGCAGAAGTAGTGAATCTACTTAAATATTTAACATTCTATCAGCAGCCATGTAACTTAATACCAATTAAATAACATTTAAAGAATTTCTATATATATTTCTACTTATGGTGCCTATCCGTTACGGATGTTGGACACTAAGATGGCTATTCTGACTTTTTTGACTGCTGCCCTGAAAAGTCCGGTAGTTGTTAAGTTTAAACCTTTTTTGAAGGTTTATGCAGCCAGGATATTCTTCGTCTTGGTCCACTTTTCCCATACACTTTACCTTGAAGTATGGTCTGAAGTAGGCCATTATCGTTGTTCATTTCGGCATTATATTGCCCAGGTATTCCAGTTTGCGGCATTTTTATGGTTACGACTAGTTTGCGCTATTTTACCCATTTCTATGTAGTACTTCTTCGTTGGTAACTCTGTATATCCAGGAAATCCTCAACATGCGTCTATAGCACCACATCTCAAATGCTTCGAGTCTCTTCAGTGAGCTTCAGTTAAGGTCTATGACTTCCACGCTATATAAAAGAATGGAGAATACATAGCATTTTTATTAAACAAACTTTTTTATTTCCAATTTTCTGATTTTCAAAGGCTGATCTTGCCTTCTCGATCCTTATCTTAATTTCCGTCGATTTGGTCGCAACTGTCCATTTAAGTTTGCACTAAGATAACAAAAGTTGATGATTTGTGTTATAGGTTGTTGGTTAACTAGTAACTGACCAGGTGGTATCCTATTTTTGCTTATAACCATGTATTTGGTTTTTTTTATGTTACAATCAAGCCCAAACCTGCTACTTACTTCTGCCACCCTGGAGGAAAAGTGTCTGCAGACCTTCAAGACTGTCTGCAAAAATGACAGTATCATCAGAGTATCTTATGTTGTTTCAATCGTTCTCGTTTATAAGTATTCCCTCGTCTATGTCTCGTTAGCGCTAGGTTCATATGTGCTCTGAATATGTATTGAACAATAATGGGGACAACATACATCCCTGTCGCCCACCTCTTTTTACCCATATATTTAGTCGCTTTAAACATGTATCATCTAGTAGTACCACTGAAGATGGAATATTTATTACCAAAACCTTCTGTGATTTAGCCCTAAAGTTTTTAATAAATGTACCATTTATAATATATACATAAATATATATCGGACAAGACGTTGCAACATAAACTGTTATAATTGTGCAAATATTCCTTGCAAATACTGTGAAGACTCCACTGTTCTAGCCTTTGCTTTAATTCCCTTCAATATTTCCTACTAACACTACATCAAAATTCGATCCAAAATATCTAGTCCAATACTAATGAGAATAAAGAAATGAGACACCTGGCCTAATATTAGTTTTTATTCCATCATACCATCATCATCAGTTGGCGCTACAGCTCTTCGTGACCCTTGGTCTGCTTCAAAACATTCTTTTCATCTCTCATAACTTTTTCTAAACGATAGGTTGAAAGCGTGCACGATAGCGCATCTCCCTGGCGCAGTCCTCTGTTGGTTTTAAATGGTTTTGAAACATCCCCTTGTTACGCGCACTTTAACATGCGACTGTCATCATTGTCATTTTAATTAATTCTACCAAACCTTTTGGTATTCCTAATTCGATCATCGCCGAATATAATTAATGTATTATTATAATATAAAGTCGCCGAATATAAAATCTACGAAGATGTAATGGTAGTCTATGTCGTACTCCGTCGTTTTTTTCTAATATTTGTCTGATGGATGATATCTGATCAATGGTAGATTTGTTTTTCAAGAAGCCTCTTTGATAGGATCCTATTATATTGTCGGTATACCGTGCCAGTCGTTCGTTAAGTATCAGGGACACAATTTTGTACGCTGTATTAAGAAGGGAAATCCCTCTAAAGTTGGAACATTCAAGAACGTTTCCTTTTTTGTGTATGGGGCATATAATTCCAGTATTCCAATCTTCTGGTAACGCGCGTTTCTTGCCATACCTGTATTAGTAGTTTGTGAAGGAGGGTTTACAAATGTTTGACCGCCACATTTAAATATTTCTGCGGGTAGGTTGTCTGCTCCGGGTGACTTGTTTCTGGCTAGAGACTGAATTGCTTTGTTTATTTCTTCCAAAGTTGGTAGTTCAGTATCCTCGTGTTCTATTTCTATATCATATCTACCTTCAGCTCTACTTTCTCCATTAAGTAGCGTACTAAAATGTTCCTGCCATCTTTCTAGTACTTCCACTCTCTCGTTTACCCATCGAGCAATAAGACAAAAGAGGGAATCTAATCCTTATGAAAAGGAGACCAAAAAAGTGGCCTCTGATGGCGGACATATCCGGAAATGCGAATGCGCCAAATTTAAATTTTCCTAACTTATCAACAGTAGCTATATAATATTTTTCAGAATGTGTCTTAGACGAGAAAGTTTTAATTAATTATTAATGATAAGAGTCTAAAATGCGACACAATTGTTAACAACTTCAATATAAATAGGATTTCATGTGACATTTGGGACAAACAATAACATAACCCAACTAAATTTGATGTCAAACAAGGAGTGAGACTCTCTTTCCTTGTTTAATGTGGCCTCTAAAGATCGCACTTCCTGTCTAACAATATGTTTGCCCCCACTACCTTTACATTCCCTCTATTGTCTTTTTGCTCGATGCGTTTACCATATGTCTCATTATATTCACATACTCACCGGGTTCTTATCGATTGTTGACCATACACAACCTCTTGATATGAGAGAAAACACCATATGAGCGTTTTCTGCTCACTGCCCTATAATTAAAATTGCATCTGTTTTTCGAATATTCTAGTTTTCTCAAAGTGTGTATCAATTACTCTCTCCCGTATTTTCATGGTGTCAGTAATTAGTTTAATGGCCCTCTAGTTTGTACTATTTAGCATTTGTGTATTTAGTATAGAGTACATTTAAACATATTGGTAACTTACAATATTTTATAAACCACGGACAATCATTGCTAAGATTAGCTAAATAAACTAAGATTGCAGAATTAAAAAAAAAAATGCTAGACACATTTTTTTTTAATTTGTGTTTTGTAGAAAATTGAGCAGTGTATTTTGAAGGATAAATACTTATCATTTACAATACTGTAACTGATTTAATATAATAACATAACCCAACTAAATTTGATGTCAAACACAGAGAGTCTCTTTCCTTGTTTAATGTGGCCTCTAAAGATCGCACTTTCTGTCTAACAATATTTTTGCCCCCACTACCTTTACATTCCCTCTTTTGTCTTTTTGCTCGATGATTACAGGGCATGGAATTAACATATGTAATCAATTGTTTATTTGTTTGTTTTAATATTTGTCTGTCATAATAAATGTAATATAATGTCAGACCAATCAAATACACTGCCCAAAATGATCATATCTTACTAAGAGTCTTATCAGTTTTTTTAGGAACCAGCTGTACTTTCACTTTTGGAGTCAAATAACATGAATAAAAATATAATATCCTAATGGCTCTATAATGTATTCCTTATGTTTTTAGGAAACAAGAGTATAACATTGTACGACATTAGAGCAGAACTGAACTCGCGATATAAAGATTTGAGACAGCCTTTTCGTTCTGCAAATCCTGAAGAACTATTCGATATGCTTACTAAAGAAACCCCCGAAACATTTTATATTGGAAAAATGGTTACATCTACCGTGTTTGGTAAGTCAAATTATCTAGTATTATCGTTATGTTTGTTTTATAATATGTACATACACTCTAAGAGCTGTTAAGGTAACATTCTTAACGAATAATTTTTTATGTCAGCGTCAAGTTGAACATGTTTTACACAGAAAAAATAGTTGTGCAGTATGTAATTGCTTTGTGGATATTGTTTTTAGGCATTGCAAGGAAAAAACCAAAACCGGACCAGCTCGATCAAGCTAACCCGGTCCGTAATGACGAAACTGGTTTGTGGCAGTGCCCCTTCTGTTTGAAAAATGATTTTCCTGAATTATCCGATGTATGGAATCATTTTGATGCAGGCGCATGTCCTGGTCAAGCTACTGGAGTTAAACTAAGACTGGATAATGGTATTTTAGGTACGTATAACTGCTCAATATTTCAAAATATCATTGGGTAAGCTATTATTTAAAAATTCAAACCATAACTTCATCATCAAATTAGTAAAGATACGTTATTAGTGCGAGTAAGTTATTATTAATAATAATTACAAAACAGCTCACTAATTTAAAATATTCTTTTTTTTTTGTAAACGATTTTGAGGGTTTAGTTTACCGAAATTAGTTTTAAAGGATAATGGTGTAAATATCTGTCGGTATGACACAACAGCCTATAACAACTGGGATTTTCTGGGTCCTTCCCTGGTTTTAACAAGGCTATTACTTTAGATTTGCTCCATGATTTGGAATTTCGCAGGCTTTGCAACACGTATTATAAAGTTGCAAGATCCAGTTTTATACTCATATTCCTAGATGCTTTATTTGTTCACTGCATATATCATCCACACCTGCAGCTTTCCCGTTTTTTAACCTGTTCATACCGTCGTGGAGTTCTTTTAGTATAAAAGGAGTTCCTAAGTGGTTTGTCTCCAAATCCAATCTTCTTCTAGTATTTGGGTCCTTATATCGGTTCGTAGTTCTTCCATTCATAAGGAGTTAAGCAGCGACTTGGTTTGCTGTAACGTTGCAAGGTGGTTTATGTTCTTTTGGATCACCGCTAAGTTTTTTTACAAGGTTCCATGCTATTTAGCTACTGTGTGTCATGTCCATTTTTTCCAGGGTCTCAATCCACTTTTTCTGTCTGGCTTGACTTAGCTATTGGAGTAGTACTGCTCCGCATTCAACCGTTTCTTGGCTAAAAGGGTCAGATGAATAGAGGGTTTCGTATGTTCTCATTAGTTCTTTGGACTCGCTGTACATCACGGGAACATATTGTTGTCTACATCCTCTGGGGATAGCTTTTCTAGACACATTTTTGAGTACCTCTACAAATTTTTCGTAGTTCTCTACTTTTGGTTCAAGATGTAGCAGCTCAGAATCTAGCATGTCTGCATACGTTTTACCAGTTTGCCTTTTTGAAGTTAAATCTCCTTTTGATGAATAGCTTATGGTCTGACAATTGGAAAGATATTTATACCAATTGGTCTATGCTGAGTTTTTGGTATGGGCCATATACTACTTTGGTACATCGGTCTTCGAGGTTATTACTTGAAAAACAGATATTACTGCGTCTCCATTTGCGTCCGAATCTGCATAGCTTCAGAGTAAACTGTGACTGTGGAAGTCTCCCAGTACAACTGATTGGGTTGTGATTGGAAGTTAGTTGGGGTGAAAATATAAACGGCTGGTTTGGGGGCTTGTATACCGAGGTTATTGTGCGTTTTCCGATCTCAGTGGTTATTATCTCTATACCGTGTACATTTGTTGTTCCCACAGATGAGATTATGGTTTGAGTTCTCACAAATCAGTTTGTATGATTGATAATGTAAGATCTAACCCAAACTGTGGCTACGTGTATAGTAAGTAGATGAAGTACATCGAAACGTTTCTAGTCTTGTTACAAAGCAGCTAAAACAATGCTCTTCCTTATTTAATGTAGCCCCTATTTTATATTGATAAGAATGTTTTGATTGAATATTAAAATATACTTATTGTGTTTTACAGGTTATATTTATATAAAAAATATAAGCGACAAACCAGTCGCTAATCCTGAAGAAAGAGTAGGCATAGGACAATTAATTCACTGTAGAATAATAAAAATAGACGTAGAGAAGTTTAGTGTTGATTGCACATCGAAATCTAGCGATCTTGCAGATAAAAATCATGAATGGAGGCAAGTATTTTAACAAAATTTGTATCGTTTTGTAGTAGCTAATTATTTTTATAACATTTTAGACCTCAGCGAGATCCTCATTATGATCAAGAACGTGAAGATAAAGACAATCGAACGGAAGCCGAGAAGAAGAAGGAGAAACAGCGTATGACGTACATTAAGAGGGTTATTGTTCATCCGGCTTTCCACAACATATCTTACGCCGAAGCCGAGAAATGTATGGTTAATATGGACCAGGGTGAAGTTATCATTAGGCCTTCGAGTAAGGGTGCGGATCATTTGACCATTACTTGGAAAGTGACGGATGGAATCTATCAACATATTGATATTAAGGAACAAGGAAAAGTTAACGCTTTTTCTTTAGGTAAGTATGTACTAGAGCAGGGGGTTCCCAAACTTTGTTGTACCACACCAAACTCAGAATACTAAATAATGCTTTATTCACACGTTTGTATATTTAATTTTTTTTTTTAACATACAGAAGTTAAAACACTTCACACTTGTATTTTGGTATAAAAACATATAGTTAAAACTTTTTAAAAAAGTGTCGTCAAAATTTATGTAGTAGCATAACGTTTTCGATCTCAACAAATCATCCTCAGTGCCTTATGTAGTTGAAGCTAACAATAAAGTTGTGGCTGTGACATCCATATATGGGTTTACATCATTCCAAATTTTAAATATGTTGTGACTCCAGGTCGGTGACATTGGATAAAGTTTATTACTTTAAGGACTACATAATGTCTCCCTGCTCGATTTTTAAACACGTGGTACTTGTCAGTTAAAACGACACATACCAACTATTCAACTACATAAGGCACTGAGGATGATCGTTAGATCGAAAACGTTATGCTATACATAAATTTTGACGACTCTTTTTAAAAAGTTTTAACTATATGTTTTTTTATACCAAAATACAATTGCGAAGTGTTTTAACTTCTGTACGTTTTTTTAAACAATGGTATACAGCCAACTACTGGGATTTTCCCATTAATTTTTATATTAATTTTTTTTTCTTTCAGGAAAATCATTATGGATTGGAAATGAAGAATTTGAAGATCTTGATGAAATAATAGCTAGACACGTTACACCAATGGCAGCGCATGCTAGAGATTTATTGTATTTTAGATATTACAAAGATTTCGCAGGTGGTCATAAAGATAAGGCTGAAGAATATCTTAAGGATGAAAAAAAGAAAAATGCTTCTAAAATTCATTATGTAGTTAGTGCGGCTAAGGTAAATTTATAATTTATTATATATTATAGATACGAATATGCAAATTTCTTGAATATGCAAGTTCCTTGCATATCTCTGAGTGTGCCAAAAAAAAAACATTTCTATTTGCTATTTGCAAAAATATGACAAGTAGTACTATAATGAATTAATCTTTTACAGTTATTGATTTCTGCATTCTGGAAGTAAAAAAAAGTGTCACTATTTCTCAATCGAATAAATTAAACAGCTGACAAACTTTAAATCTTTTCTAAATTTTTTATTACGATTTACTATTTCCTATTTAAATATCATTTTTTTCTTCATATATATTAAAATTCCTTGAATTTTCTCATGTAAAGAAATGACTTGTTTTTATTTTAGAATATACCTGGTAAATTTCTTCTTTCGTATCTTCCACGAAACAAAGTTAGACACGAATATGTAACGGTTACTCCAGAAGGCTTCCGGTTTAGACAACAAATGTTTGATTCCGTTGGTTCGTTGTTTAAATGGTTCAAAGAACATTTCCGGGAGCCTCCGCCAGGTGGTGCAACGCCGGGTAGTACGCCAAGGTTGGCCTCAAGCCGAACTGGATATGGAACTGCCACACCTGCGTTTAGTAAGTATTTCTTACAATTAACGTCCAAATAAGAATATATTATAGATATATATATATATATATATATGATATTATATATATATATGTATATATATATATATATATATATATATATATATTATATATTATATATATATATATAATATATATATATATATATATATATTGTTATGATGTGTTGTTGTTGTATGAGCTATGAGTAAATTTGAATGTATATATGTAAGTATAGGGTTTTTATCGCGGTTCTCAAAGAATTAGTTTGTAAGTACTTTTTTAAATTATCTTTGATTATAACTATTATGAAACAAACCTATCTATCTAATATAAGCAATATCAATTTAAACAATCTATCTAAAATTTGAAATTCTTACAATTATTAAATTATTAACAAATTTTGGTACCTTCTTTCACTGAACGCCTATAGTTTTTCCAAAATTACAGTTATTATCACCACTCGATATTTTCTTACTAATCCTTGGTTATCCAACTATTTTAATATGTTCCTTCTTAATTATCTCCACTCACCATATAAATATATAAATTTAACTCCTTGTAATTTCCATATAATGTACTTTGAAATATACTGGATCTTGTGGTTATATTATTGAATGCTTACTTCAATGAATTAACTTCAAACTGTCACTATATTACTGTAGTAATAATTAATCTCCAACTGTATTTCATTTAATAATTCATTTAACTTAATCAATGCCTTCTTCTAGCTAATAATCTCTTCATAACCTCATAAATCAATCTTAATTCTTCTTTGTAATTAATAATCACATGTAACTGACTTAATAATAATTAATAATTGACTTAATAATCTTCTTGTAACTAAATTCTTGAATTATAACTTTACTGACTCACTTTACTAACTGACTTCTAACTGATAACTGACTGATTCATAACTGAACTGAACTGAACTCTAACTAACTTGAACTGAACTCCTTTCAAATTACATGACTTTTTATATGTTTTTCATTGTTTCCAGAATATTCTAGCAATAAATAATGTTCCAATCATTCTATTTGTTCTATCTGAAAATTCTGGAATCGTTTTTTGTCTGTTATGTACTATGCATACAGTCCCATTGACATTTCCACAACTTTCCATTTACAATTTACTCGACTTTAGGCTCTCCAGATCAGAACTACACTATTATATGTAACTTAAACATTTATATGATAATATATTTTTACTATTCTACATCCACAATTATATTCTTAATTAACATTCCAAAAATAAATAATTTTTTGACTTTAACACTACAGTGTATGTTTGGTTGCATAGCACATGACTGACTAAACATATTAAATATTAAATAAAATAAAAAAACTTCTTAAACTTAATTCTTATGCAAAATTCTTAAAAAATACCCTCATATAATTATTTTTTTAATAATATTATCTAGTATATAACTTATAAATTATGTCTTCAACCACCATCTTAATAAGTTGCTTAATATTGTATATCTGGTTGTATATATTTCTATGTTAATTTATTGTATTTCTGTTCTCATTATAATATATATAATTATATATATATATATATATATATATATATATATATATATATATATATATATATATATATATAAAATTACCTTTCTTTTGTTTATTTTACTTATATATTTTATTGCGTTTCAGGTATGAATAATGAAGCTATTCAAAGAGTTGCTCAAAATTTGCCAAGTCATGTAGTTCAAGCGTTATCTGCTGCCACCAATCAAACTCCACATTATCCCCACACTCCTGGTTACGGAGGCAATTATATTAATACGGTAAGTTGAAAATTAAAGTATGTTATTTATATTACGTAACTATTGTTGTTGTTTGTTTGTGTTTAAATGACTGCGAACACTAAATCCATTCGCTAATCTTACAATTTGTACTCATTTTTTCATTAGTCATTGTTTCCTATACAATCTATCTAAATTATCTTAGAACATTATTATTAGAACATTGTTTAATCATTAGCAAATAGAAGAGACAGAATTCTATTGAATATATGCAATAATTTATATTATATGATACCAGAAGAACGATTTTTACTATTAATTTCATTTTTTTCATATCGTGTCATAATTTTAAATAAAAATAATGTATCTTTCGAATTTTTTTGATATTTTTTTTATTTCAGCCTTACACTCCAAGTGGTCAAACTCCATACATGACTCCGTACCATACACCGCACACTCAGCAAACCCCCCGCTATGGTCATCAAACGCCCTCCCAACACATGGCGAGCTCAGCACCACAAGGTCTCAACAATCCCTTTTTACATCCTGGCGCTGTAACGCCTTCTCAACGAACTCCTAGTTATCGCAACCATCCCGCACAATCTCCAATGCTTCCTACAAGTCCTGTACCGAGTCCAGGTTCCCAGAGTTCATACAGTAGTCATTTAAGTCATAATCAGCGAAGTTCAAGTTATGCTGAGTCATTGAGATTCCAGCCACCCGAATCACCGAGAAGCTCAGTAAGTAATAGAAGCTTTCATTCTGATAGATACGGCGGTGACAGGTATGGTAAAGGAGGTCATGGAGGAAGATATGGCGGAAGCTCAAATGAAGATAGATATGGAAAGGGAGGAAATGAAAATACGGATTGGCAGAAAGCTGCAGAAGCGTGGGCTCGATCTAGATGTAAGTAACAATTATGATATATTCCTCTATTCAGTATTTCTTAGCATATGTGTAATGATCATGAATATTGACGTATCTTAGCTACCAGGAACTTGGTTTTCTTGTGGATTTGAAACTTTTAAAACAGTTACAGTTTTCACGGATTTGTCATCAGCTTCACCTATTATACTTTTTTGAACCTTCAAGTAGACTGGGTATATCACTTAAAGAAAATACATTAATTTGGTATTTTCTGTTCTAGCTACTCCGCGAAGTGATAGCCGCAATACTCCAAGATCTGTAGGTCAACGAACTCCTAGATACGACAACGATGCCGAACGTTCTAGAATGAAACACCTCAGCAAGAGCCCGAGGTCTGTCAGGTCTACTCCTCGAACCAATACATCTCCACATTCTATGTCCTTAGGTGATGCTACCCCTCTGTATGACGAAAGTATCTAAATTACTTTGTATTTGGTTATATAGTAGGGTAAAAGTGATATTGTAAATGCTAAAATCAACAATACGGATAAACTTACGAATACATTAAGAGTGTTACAAAAATATTACCTGACCATCAAAAATGTATAACTGTGTAGATATTAAAAATATGTTATATTATTTTGAAATTGGTTGAGGGTTCTTTGTTATAGCTACATACACACTGTAGCTGTCCATTTGATGTAATGGTCGTCTTGTCTATGTATCTCTCCTTTTTCTTAAATAGAATTGGTACGGCTATATTTTCAATACTGTTTCCCTCTCTTTTTTTACAACAAATCATCTAAGCCATTCATAGTATTTTGTTGATAATTTCTTATCTTATTCAACTGCAGCCTTGTTTGTTTTAATTCTTGCATTATTAAATGTTGAAGAAAATTGTGTAGAAACCTAATCTTCTTTTTAATTTTTAATAAATAATTGATGTTGAGTCTATTGTAAACTTTGTACCTTATTAAAATACTTTCTTATTATTTTTTATGAGCAAATAGGGGGTGAAATTATAGAGTTACTAGAATAATGTAAGATATTTTATTTAATATGTTTATTCTCTTAAATATACACTTATCTATCATTTTAACCTGCATGTGGATGCCTTCTATTGCAAATGAAACCGTTTAATCTAAATTTAACTATAATCGAAGTAAGGAATAGTTGTCAGTGATGTTTTTAAGTGCCAAAACGTCATTTTCCATACGGTTCTTTTAATACCCGAATTTTTGTACCCTAAATATTGTTGTTGTCAAATTGTATTTATCAATATTGCAACTTTTTTTAACCACTAGTTTGTGGTTTAATAAATTTTTCAATCCTGTTAATTACGCGAAACACTGTCTGAGACTAAACTTTCTCTAATTGTCCACATATTTCGGGTATTTGCGACAGGTACCTTTCAACACATGTTTTAATATGTGCCTTTCTCACAAAACTTAAAAAATCCTTCCACGTAAGCCATTAGAACTAGTTTCACTTTCCATTTTCTTAAAACAAGTAAATATGAGTCATCTGAGGACGATTATGACCACAATAACTTGTGGTGTGTGAATTGATATCATGTGTTGATCTTTGCAGGTAAATGTCAACTGACAGTGAAAAAATCTTAATGTTGATTAGATTATCTTATATTTCGAGTTTCAATTAACGTCATTTACATCTACTTCGTACTTTAAATTTAATCCACCAATCATGAAACCAATATGCTCAGCAATGGCATGACTAAAATGAATCAAACTACCTATTTTTAATCTCTTTATCTGTTTTTTTAATGTGACTTCAGCGAGTACGTAGTTTGTATATATAACTATAAATCTTGATAATTTGCAGAAGTATCTTACATAAAATTTTGAAGAAAACTGGCTATAAACTACTGGAAAAATCAGAAAATTATGTAAATTAAACATTTTCTTACCGTATGCCAAATCTTTTTTTATACTGTAGTTAGAATTAATTTCGTATCATCTATATCCCAATTTTATTAATTTTTCCAAAGATTCAGGTAATAAGTAACACTTTTAGAAATATTTGACATGACGATGTTTTTAATGTCAAATGCTGCTTTTATACATATTGTTTTTTATATTTTGGTAAATTTTCGATTGGAAATATGAATGAATATCACGTTTTGAAAACATTTTAATTAACATGTAGTTTAATTTTTTATTGGTAATATATTGTAGTACATTAATTTTGCTTTTTATTCAATGTTTTGGTAAATCTTAGTTCGATGAAGATTGGATTGACATCAATTTCTTTCATGATTGTCTGTTTCTTTATAATTATCAATAATCAAGAAAGAAACGTACATGAAAAAGAGAAAAAATAAAGGAGCCACTCATCCTACGTAATGAAGAAAAATGTGTAGCAAACCCATCAATAGAATGTAACTGATTTTGGTTGCCAATACTAAAAGAAGTCAACAACAAGAACATATGCAACACACAATGGACAAACAGTCTATGTTAAATACACATTATACAAGAAAATACAAAAACAAAAATGTCAGAATTTGATATTCCAAGGTAAAAACACCACCTCAGAGTTTCTCAACCAAAAGAAGGCTGTTGATTAGAAGATCAAGGCCAAGTGTGGTGCCGTTGTATATATAGTTACGCACCCTGACAGTAGATAATGCGCCAATCGTCGTTTTAATTGTTAATACAGGACTGGCACTGCTAAGTAGAAGTGTGCTGTGACATTGTTCCATGGTTGACATTTGCGGCTATCTTCAGCTTGAAGTTTCGTAAAATACGTCATTGCATCAAAAACCAAGGTTAGAAAAAGGGAGGTTGTATGGTAGACCTGACATTGACAGAATTAATTATGACGTAGACGTCACCCAGGGGGTCAATTTTACGAATTGTTTGAAAACAAAATAGAAGTGGTTTGGAGAATATATTTTGTTGTTAAATATCGTATCTGCTTTAGTTTATGTTAATATCTCGAGATATAATATGTCTATAGATATTATTGAGTGATTTTTAGCATACAACTTCGACCCAAAACTCTTATACAAGTGTTAAGATACATTTAACGTGGTTATGTCTTAATTTCTGCCTGGTTATTTCTGCTGCATTGTATAGTAAAAGGTCCTGTTTTAATAAAACAGTTTGTAGTATACACTTTCGTATGGAAGATTATGAGGATGCTTTAAAAGCTAACCTATTAAACTACAATAGTAACATAGTAAGTAGGTATAGTCATTTAAATGTTCAGTAAAATGTGTTAATTCACTGATGTAGATTTTTATAATTTACTGTTAATTATGTACAACTTAAAAGGTACCTATTTAATGGAATCATGTTTTAATATTTTTTATATTCTATTATATAATCCAGTAATGATGTAATCAGATGTTCCTTAAATAAATTGAATTTAAGGGAAAACTACTAATTCTGATATATAAATCTTTAGTTGAATCTCTTTTTCAGCATGGTTTACTTGTTTGGAGGAATTTATAATAATCCACTACATGCATTATCCTCAATTCAAAATAATTAAAAAAAAAAGTAAATTGTATTCAACCCATTATTAATATAGTATATTAACATGTTTTAGTTACATGTATACACAAGAAAGAATCTACTTCCAATTTAATATAGTAATGCTATTTTACTACATATGTTTAGCTGCAATAACATTTTATGATTTCTGTAACTCTGCAGGTACTTATCTCCTACATTGTATTAAGATTGAATGAAATAAATAGTTATTAAAAGTCCAAACGTATTTTTTTCAATATAAATAGAATAATATATTTACAATCATTGCTGCTTTTCGAGTTCATTTCAAGGAGTAAAGTGAATGAATTTGAATGTAGCATTCTCAGTGACGTCATTCCCGCCGTTAATTCCGTCCCCATTCACGACGCTGATTGGTGTAAAGTTACCAGACAACCTGTCTATTTTTAATAACCTTGGTGCAATTGTATCACAGAATACTCCATATATAGTTAGGCACCCTGACGCTAGATAATGCGCCAATCGTCGTTTTAATTGTTAATACAGGACTGGCACTGCTAAATAGAAGTGTGCTGTGAAATTGTTCCATGGCTGACATTTGCGGCTATCTTCAGCTTGAAGTTTCGTCGTAAGTTAAGTTAACCAAAAAGTCCAACCAAAGCAAAAACTACAAAAACCATTGAATTGAGTTGGAATCTACAAAAACACAGACAGAGATTCGATGCAAAAACATTTTCACAGTTGTTCACAGACCGAGATAGGTGATCTGTGCAGTGTAAATCAAAAACTTCATTCCAGTGGTTCGCTTCTTCACTCACAGTGTTTTATTAAATTTTTAACAGAAAACAGAAGAATACATTTCTTAAATTATTAACGATCTAACCTAGAAAATTAAGCAAAATTCTTAGAGTAAAGAGTACTGTGAAAATTCCATTCCAAACTGTAAGAAGTAACTAAAACAAAATGACTTTGAAACACGCAAGTTTCATTGCAAGAACTGTATTTGTAAAAAATAACGATGTGGATGCAGCATGTAGAGTATTAAATAGAATCTTAGGACGAGAGGATATTTTAGATCAATATAGAAGAACTAGATACTTTGAAAAACCATTTCAGGTAAATGTTGCTTTATAATTTAGAAACTATAATGGTTTAATATATTATTACAATAAAACTCTTTGCATTTTGATACTTTAAGTTGCTATTATAATTCATATTTACTGCTTTTGTAGTTCCGCAGAAGAATTAATTTTGAGAGATGTAAATCAATCTACAATGAAGATATGGACAGAAAAATTCAATTTGTTATGAGGAAAAATAGAACAGATCCCTTCCCAGGATGTTCATAATACTTGTTTTTAATTGTAGTAAGTGGACAGTCTCTTTAAATTTATAGCATTTAATACTTCCATTTGTCATTTAATCAAGTATTACATGTAAGTCTAATCGATTTTTCTCATCTATTTCTCAACTCTGGATAAAAAACTGTATTAATTGATCTTGCTCGCCTCTTCATTAGTACAAGCAATTTGTATCCTTTTTTTACTCCTTTTGTTCAGTAGTCTATTTTGGCATACAGAAATGAAAAAAGGGAGTATACTTCTTCTGATTCCTACTTCATTACTTTAAGTGTACTATTCAATCAACATGAAATTCTGTCTTCTTTCAGATATGGGATCTATTAATTACAGCATTGTGCACTTCCTGTTATGTTAGTTGTTAGCAAACGATATCTATCTGGCAGTCTTCCTGACTCTACTTTCTACTCTACAACAATACTTTCTGTGGAAATTAAAAATTCTGTGACATTTTGTTATATAATTGTGACATAGTAATAGTTTTCTACTTTATTCTTTATTATTTTTGGAATGTAGTTTTTATGTAATTAAACAATTCTTTTTTTTTCAGATTGTGAAGTAATGTGAGGATAATAGTTTTATTGTAGTGTTATCTAAGTTTATTTGTTTGAATAAAAAGAATAACAATCATGTTTTTGTTTGTCCCCCTGTCTGTCATAATTCTTAAAGAAAAAATACTGGAATGATGAAACTACATAGTGAGAGAAACAAATTGGCAACAGGATTAGAAAAATAAGTTGAATTGTCAGATACTAGAATATTTTTACTTGCCAAGTGATCAGATTACTATCAGAAAACTTTGTGCCATATTTAATAGTTTTCTAGCAGCAACTATTTTGTGTCATTGTCATGTTTGACAGAATATTTTCTGAGAACATTGGAGAAACTCTACCAGGGATCCAAGATTCAGTATTTTTATTTGGACTTAATGGCAGGGTGGATGATACTCTACAGAAATTGCTTCAGCATTCTTAAGCTACTTAAAGACCTGTGATTTCACTGGAAAAATGTGATATCTGAAAGTTTGGTTTTTGAGAGGAAATGGAAAATACCTGGTAATATTTGAGGTATCTGATTTACTACAAAAATTGAGCTATTAACAATAAGAAGGGATGCTAGAGTAAAATACACAGGGCTTTTTAACATTCTACAACAGAAGGGTCTATATAACAACAATATTCAATTCTTAAAAAGCTTGAGACCATGCATAGGCAGAATAAGATGAAACAGAATACTACTCATAATATAACACTGAGGTAATCAAGGAGGTGTGTAATTCTCTCTTTCATTTAATATATATTCAAGATATATATTCAATAAGGCTTTATAAGATATAGACAACTTTATAAAAATAAATATTCATTCAACCTACATATTTTTTAAAGAATATTATACATTTTCCCAGTTTGATGCTACTGACACTTTCATAATCGACAATTTTATTATAACTTTTTGTTTAGTTTTGAATGTTACAGCAAAAGGATGAAGACTTTGCCTGAGTTCAAAAGGAATATTTTTATTACAAAAACACAACCATTTAATTAATTTTATTTCATATAATACTTATACAATGATACAATAAGTATGAAGGACAAAATTATAATTTTCATGAAATAAACAATTTAAAATTCCCTAGAAGGTCTACTTTTTTCGTAATAGTAATATATATGCTTTTATACAATCATAGCATAGCAAGTGGGATGCATATCAAAGTTCATAGGGAGGAAAACTATGTAACTAGAAAAATAAATTTATAATTTTTAACAAGCAACTACAACAAATGTTTTATTCAAACCCAGAGAAGATTTTAACTCATTTTATGGCTTTCAATAATTTACAACATATTTACTTTTGTTCAACAACTGAATTGAGAGTTTTTCGATTTAGTAAAATTTGTTATAGAACCAAAGATTTAACATACTTTTATGCGACTAATATTTATTATCATAACGTTGAAGACTCTACACACCATTAGTAATAGTACCATTTTTTACAAAAGTGAATTCTTAGTTTTACAAGGTTTTTGTAAAGGCAGTTCTTGTTTTCTATTCCTTTTGTGTTCATGTAAAGCTTTTTCAAGGTGTATATTTGTTTTACATTTTTTTATATACCTATTTATTTGTTAATAAATTTTTAGGATTAATATTTTTTATCATACTCAGCAATCTCCCAATCATTCATCGTATTTATATTAGGTATAACAATTTTTGTATCCAAAAATAAGAACATCGATATGCCATTTTTGTATTTCACTAAAAATAATAGGTCTTGCAATGACATCTTTTTCTCATTTGAAATCCATACAGATTTATTTTATTCATATTTTATGGTCTAAGATCACACTGCATGATACTACTTCATACGTAGTTTCACTCCAAAGCTCAAAGTCCGATAGTTAATTCATCAAATCTACAAATTTCTATTTATTTTTTAAATAAAATACGCTACTCATGACGTATATGCACGTTTTTTACTGTCAAATTAAAGCGCAAATTTTTTTCCTAGTATGATGATATAAGGTTGCCTGAGAAAATGGTCACAAATTAGGATTGTCAGCTGTTAAAAACGTGAATTATCAAAGATACAGTAAAATAATGTAAGCGCGCAACACTGGCTCGACAAGTTATCATTAGTATGACAAGTATTATATAATCTATTTGAGTCAATGCTTTAAAAACTCACATAACTGACATTTCAAAACAATAGCGTTGCGCGCTAGCTGTCTGTTTATCTTAGATTGACAGAGAAAAACTGATGACGTATTCCGATACAGCACTTGAAAGTTATTACAGCAAAAATTGTCAAAACGGAAATACTTCCGATTTTGGAAAAAACTGTATAACTCGCAATCGATCATAGATATTTTTATTTTGACAACGGATTCGTAATCAGCGTGCAAAAATACGTCTAACATATGTCTTGGTTATCTTCCCATCATAAAAATGTGTCTCTTCCGATGATTTTCGCCCCTAATTGTTAGGTTATATATTCTATATTTGAAGAAAATCTTTGTTGTATAAGAAAGTTTTTTAAAACTTATTTCTAAGATGGGACAAACTGTTTTTAAATATACGTATCTCCATTCTTTAGTATTTTTTAAATACTTTAAAAAGCAGTAACTCCAATTTGCAGGCCAAGAGCAGACAATTGAAACCACACAGTTGGAGTGACGACATCACGAGTATCACCAACAATTGGCAACAAAGAGCACAAAATCGTAAAGAATGGAGGATAAAATGCGTTAGTCTTTCACGGTCATCGTCTAAATTGTTAAACTGTTGTAAAACTGGTGTAAAACCCTGTTAGGCCGTTGTCTTCTGAGATTAGTTCTCGACGTTTCGCTAACACTAGGGGTTGTCATCTTCTGGAGATGTTACTGCTTCGCTTGTAAGCTGAAACTGACGTTGGCGAAACGTCGAGAACTAATCTCAGAAGACAACGGCCTAACAGAGGTTTAACAAGAATGGGGTAGTTTAAGGGAGGCCTATGTTCAGCAGTGGACGTGATAAATGACGGCTGGATGATGATGTACATGTACATATAGGATTAAAGTAAGATTAGAATATAAGTCAAATTTAGTTGTTTCTGTAAAAATTATACTACTTATTTCTATCAGCGCAATTGCTTATTTAGTATTAAAAAGCATGCTTACATATTAATATATAGATTAAAAAGTGAAAGTAGTGTAAAGAGAAGAATATGAAGGGTTATTGCTAATATAACGTTTTTGAAAATTTGGTCATTTTTATGTATCTCTGTAAAAGATAGAATAGCGCCCTCTATCATATTCTATCACCACGTTTGGTAGCATGGTAGTGTCACGATATAAAACGTTACATAATATTCTTTTATACAGACAATTCCAAATTACCAAATTTTCAGACTGTTCTATTACCAATAATTCATTGATACAATTTTCACTTATTGATAACTAGTTCAATAAAGTTAGTTAAGTTCATATTAAGCAATAACAGTATTTACAACTATAGCTTATTTTAAAAGATATTTTATGTAGTCTTACCCTTATAAGAAGTACATTTTATAGATTTTCTATAGTTTTGAGAAAAGGGACCAGAGAATAATTCTCACACTGAAGAAACATTCCATAAAATGTACACTACCTATCCTAAAGGTGATAAGTTAGCATAAGAGTTTAGAATAAATGTGCCTTTTTATTTTATGGTTGTGTTTCATATATAGGATTTTCATCAATAATGACAAATGGGATACGTTTTGAAGATTACACATTTTAAAATGTCGAGATAAGGGATCAGTAATTTATATGTTGTATATGCATAGTATGATGTATGCTATGAAAGTTTTTGCTGTATTTAGGATGTGCTTTATTTTTAATATTATTTTATTAAAATAAAATTATTTATCCCCAATTAAATTAACCAGTCTCGACGTACATAAGACTTCACCGAACCTAAATTCCAAACTCTACAAAAAAGGAGAGTTCAGAATTTTACTCCCTGATTGAAAGCATAGAGATATAGCAGAAATTGACCGAGGACCTCTACCAATTAATTGTGGAACTGCCAACACTCTTAATAGAATAAAAAATGGTGCCTTGGGGCTAAATAGGAATGCGGCAACCTTTAAATTATAATAAATTAGAAAGTACTTTATACGATCTCGTGTACCCCCTTTTATTGTTATATTCCTTCCTGTTAGGCCACACACAGCTGTACTTTTTATCATATTTTTCTTTACTGTTTTTGTCATTTCTCCAGGTTTCCCTAAAATTTTCAGACTGTGCAAGGCATCCCAATGATCCATTCACCAATTGAACTAGTCCGGAGGTGTCTGTCTTGTGGAAGAAACCGTGATTTTAAGTTGATAGGCAACTGGTCAGGATGCTATGAATCCAACAGTACTAGGGACATCTTTTCTAGTCGCTTTTAGAGTATAACATAAAGGAAACAAACCCTTAAGTTATTTAATATTTATAATAGATTTTAAATTTAAGTACATATTAACTTACGCCTTGGATTGAAAGTTGGTTAATACCAAAAACGTGATGTTATGATAATAATTTCTAAACACGTTGTTTAGTTTCTGCTATTGTTAGTATAAAGTGACCTTGGAGACACTCATTTAAAACCGTTCTATTTTCAAGTCAAAAGAAAATGTAGAAAGTATTTTTGAAGTGTATATTTTAAGCAATTCCTAGCTGAGCGCTTTCGGCTTTACAAAGCCATCATCAGAGCTATGGTCAATTTATAAATACCACTACAATGGAGAGATCTCATTTCCTTATATGTCGAAATTATGATTTTTTAGTTGTTGAAATTTTTAAAAAACATATAAAAAACCGACACTAGACTTCACAGACACGTTAAAAAAAATTGAAAAAATTTTTTGTCATGGTACGGGTGTAAGAACCCGACCACTGATTGATGTGAGGAGGTAGACAGAATAGAACAGACAGAAGAGTTCTATTCTGTCTACCTCCTCACATCAATCATGGTCGGGTTCTTACACCCGTACCATGACAAAAAAAAAATTCAATTTTTTTTTAACGTGTCTGTGAAGTCTAGTGTCGGTTTTTTATATGTTTTTTAAGAATTTCAACAACTAAAAAATCATAATTTTGACATATAAGGAAATGAGATCTCTCCATTGTAGTGGTATTTATACATTGACCATAGCTCTGATGATGGCTTTGTAAAGCCGAAAGCGCTCAGCTAGGAATTGCTTAAAATATACACACTTCAAAAATACTTTCTATATTTTCTTTTGACTTGTCATAAGTGTGTACAAAAAATATCAGTCTTTTGATCGTTCTATTTTCAATTAACAGAGAATTCAGAACAATTTGCTGATCGTTGTGTGAGGTCACACGCCGCGACCTACCTCAATTGTAAACACGTTAGAAGTTTTGTATTAAAATACAAAAGTTGATCTGAAGCCGAGTTGGGCCAAAGCGGTGAAAGACCAACACCACAAGGGCCTTTCCACCTTAATAAAAAAGGTACTATATCAGAGATATTGGTTACTAAGGGTTAAAAATATTTCTCTCTTATGTCATCATCTTGTATTGTTTCGTAGCACTATCTTAAGTAATACTGTAGACAATGAATACTCGCCTTCAATACCGTTTCGCTATTTAATATTGCTATTATATATTTTGATTCCATAAAAGTCTTCTAAAGCGCATAATAATTTTAATTTTATAGTGCATTTACACATATCTGTAAAACAAAAAAACCTTTAAACTTGGTCATTTTTGTATTAATTCAGTCATAAAATGAGTTAATATCCTTATCCAACACGATCTATTATGTTTGCCAAATTATTATAAATTGTGTAAAACAAAATGACAGCTACTGCACTTTGTCACTCAAACATCTAAATAAAAAATAAATGACTTACTTAGAGAAAAACAGTACATACAATGTAAGTAAGCAAAGTAAAATTATTGATGGTATTTATACATTTTTTTATAAAGTAATAATTCAAAAATAGACAGGGTGTATTGCTTATATGATTCGTACTGTAAATGTTAGTTCTGGGTACGAACTGAACATGAAGTTCTTTGTATAGGTAGCGATTATTATTAGCTTTGCTTTGATTGACATTTTCTAATAAAAAGCGACATAATTTTTAATTATTTGATGATCTTATTTGCCTTGTCTTAACCCCATTTCAATCTTAATGTTTGTGGGTATATCTTTAGTTGTAGAAAATAGTAGGTACTTTATTAAGTTGATTTGAGTTCCATCCAACAATAGGAATACATTTTCATTGACACTGAATCACAAAGACGGTTTTCGGTTCAATTTGTTTTAGTCCTTTTCTCAAATGAATAAATGAATAGATTTTTCATCTAGCATCTTTATCCTCGCAAAGGAAAACTTTTTTTATTGATCGATAGGTACTTGTAATACCTCGTTATTGCCGACAAATCTTTTTCTTTTATTAAATTTGAAAATTTGTTTCAATATAATTTTTATTATCACAAATGTCCTTCTATCTGTTGATTATCATCATCATCATCATCTTTGGCTCGTCACCTCTTTGGATCCTGGTCTGGATCCACTGCTGAGATCCGGCCTCAGTAGTGTTTTATATATAACAATTTTAGTTTTTCCGAGAAATTTCCGAGAATTTTCTCTTTCTCAATGTATCGTAACGCTGGTTTTTAAGTTAGACATTGTCATTCTCGTTAATCGTTTAAGTTTTTCTGGTATACCAAACTCACGCATTGATTGGTATAGTACTGTTCTCTTGACACTAGCGTATGCGGCCTTGAAGTCGACGAATAGTGATGGGTTTAAATGTTAAATTCTAATGTTTTCTCGAGGATCTGTCTTAGTGAAAGAATCTGGTTAATGGTTGATTTTTCCGAGGTGAATCAGGCCTGGTATTTTCCAACTATGTCAACTGTGTAAACTTATAGCCTTTTATCTTGTTGATACTGCAATATTTTTGCATTTGAACATTATCCTGATATCTGAACTATATTTGGTTATAAATATTATCAACGTGGGGCAATATTTTACGGAAAACAATCAACCAAAACATGAATAATAATTGATTTCTTTGATTTCTATGAGTTGTTGTTGTACGAAAATGTTGTTGTATACTGCCTTCATAGAAATATCTAAATATTTAAACCATTTGGCACTGCTTTAATGTGTCGGTGCTTTCAAATCATTTAATTACCAGGAAATCTGTTTCAGAATGTGATGATTTTTCCCACTTTTTCATTATGCTCAACTGTGTCTATAAGCAGAACTAAATTTTTATATTTGCTTAACAAGAACTGTAAGCGTTATGCAAGAATTTATATGGCATCGGTAAGCTTCATGCTTCTTTGTATTTTCAGGAAATTGGTGAGAAACTTTGATCCCCTCAGAACCTTTATCTGAAGAACGATTGTAAAGTAGCAGACAAGGATAAGTTTGATTCCTCATATTTAGATATTCGGTTAAGCTTTTATATGTATCCTAAGAAAAACGACAAGCAAAACTATTTTCTGTCATCCGTTCACACACTTAATTTCATCAAAGTGTGCCCAATTGTTTAATTTCTAATTTGTTCTCAATAGGAAGACGAGTACAATCAATATTGAAGAATTTACCAACTCATTTATTATTAGCTACCTCTTTATTTTGCAATTAGAGACACTAAAAAAAATTCAAAAGGTAAACTAGTCTGATTGCCCCTGGGCTTCCTTATGATGTTCAATTCTAACATCTATCAGTTCACAATTTCTTTTGCAAATATCCAAAACACCCTCCAAATAAATCTTTAAAAACCGTAAGTGCAATGCAGTAGCCTTGGCGAAGTCCTTTGGT